AGAAAAATTTATAAAGTATTTTTTTTCTCGGCTCTTACGGCGCATTGGCCAGAACTCTAGAACATGGGTCTAATATTTTTCGACCTATTATCACCAAAAAAACATTGAAATCGGTGACCCCATGTCCGTAACGTCCCCTTGTAAGTGTTAGCCGAAGGTAAGAAATAAATGTTCAATTGTGAAATACAAGATTTTTGTATTGAAATAAAGCGAAAAAGGCCACTTCTGTGACAGACAAGATCTCAGCTGTAAACAGGTAATGGCTAAAATATTCTTTTTCTTTTTAATTTTTTATACGAGGGGGAACGTTGCAACGGAGCGCTGAGACCCCCTTTACTCTAGATTGGGAGGAATAATTTTTTTTTAATCAAATATAAGAATAAATGAAGTAAATATTTGGGACTATTAAAGTTAATTTTCAATGAAAAATTAATTTGTACAAGGTTTATACCATAAAGGATAATATAATAACGTCACAGCGGGGAATCAGTTTTTCTGTTTAAACATTAAAGTTTTACTCATTTTGCTGTTTCTTAAGCTCTCTTAACGTACTCGTAACTTGTTCGTTTCTTCCCAATCTCATTAAAACAATATTTTACACCCCTAAAAATATTGAATTAATAACTTTACTTTTGCCCACCAAAATTACGTAGTTTATTTATTTGTCCGTTTTTGTTCCCTATTATCATTTTGGTATGAAACTAATTAGGGAGCAAGGTGGCTCAGTGGATGAGCACTGACTTCCAGAGCTCAAGGTCCCAGGTTCGAGTCCGGCCGATGACTAGTAATTTGTTATCAGCCGTGGGTCGACCATAGGGCCGGGAGACCCTCCTGGGGCAAATACAGTCTCTATAATGTGGGTACTCTTAATTAAATAATTAATTAAGGACGGAAAACTTGGCGGTTGAGCGTGATATTGGCCCGTAACCTCCCTGCACAGCCTCGTAACAGTACTCCTCACATTGTAGTTAACCCAAGACCATTCATGAGTTAGTGGTAGAGGTAAACATACCTATGTATGCAACTAATTTGGAAACACTAAATTAATATTTTCACCTCATTTGTCGTCTCTTTCATTACAATTCTTTTTTTTTTCTTATTCATGAATCATCTTAACTTTTATTTTATGAAAACGACCAAACTGATATAAAATATACTTAACTGCTAATAGTTGCTACCCTGGGGATCTTTGCGACCTATAAGGGAACAAAACAAAGTATTCCAAGAAACAATAACTTTGATGAATATTTAAACACATTAACATAGGCATTGAAGGGTCTCATACATATTTCATATAAAGGCGAACAATCTGGATCAATATTCTTTCTAACCGGAGCTTGCAAAAAAAGTTTATACATTTTTCTCGTGCTTTAAATATATTCTAATATTTCGTTAAAGCATAATTGAAGTTTCTATTACCTGAGCTAATAATGCCTATATAATACGGCTGAGCACGGAGGATAACTTAACAGTTAGTTTTCGATCTTGTAATAAAGTCTACAGAGTCTACATAATATATTTTATTGCCTCCTAAGAATATTAAAAATCTGGTGCGGTGTGCGCATTTCACAACTTGATATGTATATATATATTATTTATTTTTTCGGTTGGCACTACAGACCATGAATGTATATATATATATGTATATGCATATATATATATGAAAACCGCTTACAGAAAATAGATAGATAATTGCACAATTCTAAAAAATGCTTACTAAAATAAATTATAAAGTCAATTATTCCAACTCCTGATTGAAAAAATGAAAAATCCGAATAATAAATAAGAAGATAATAGATAACTTCAGATTATTTATTATCCAAATGATAAAAAAATCTTTTATACACGGTTATATGCGTGCAGCCCGAAAGATTTTTTTTTTTAAAGATAAAAATAATTATGTTGGAAAAACTAAATAACTATACCAAAAGGTGTTTAAGTGCTTCTTGAAGTCCTATTAAATGTAATTACACTAACAATAATACTTTTAGAGTAATTTTTAATATTTTGACCTATACTAGGTAAGGAAAGTATTGCTAACGGGTCGAATTTCCGATATGCTGTTTTCCGACGGATCTATACGATTCAGAGCCCCCTGAGTCTGAAAAACACATTTTTAGCCAATGGTCTGTCTGTCTGTCTGTATGTCCGTCCGTCCGTCCATCCGTCCATTCGTCTGTCTTTCTGTGCCAAGATTTTCTCGGGAACTACCGAACCGATTTTTTTGCTTCCTGTTTTTATTTTGTAGGATTTAGACTACTGATGCCTGTGACAGAAATTCGGTGTTCCATGCGCAATAGCTTGCGCGCAATAAATGAAAAACATGTTTTTCTATAGACTGTAGCGCGAAAACGGCTCTAACGATTTTGATGAAACCTATAATGTTCTAATAATTGTCCTTTCAATTTTCGTATATGGACTAAATTCCCGTAAAAATTCAGGAAAAAAGGTTATAAAGAAAAGAAAAATGTTTTGGAGCCCAACTCGCTAAGTGTATATTATACGATAAAATTTATAATAAAACGTTTAGAAGGTAATTAAATTACTAACAAAACAAACAAAAAATCATCGGAATCGAACCAGTATTGACGATGATACAGCTGTAAGCCGATAAAACACCGCCTGTTTTTTGAAAGGTAATGAAATTCCCTACAAAACTATATAAAAATCGTTCATTTTGGACTTTTCATTGTTCATTTTAAATAAATCGTACTCAAATCTTTTCTGTGATTGATTTTCAGGAAAATAAATCTAATTAAATTTTTTTTGTTTCTTGATGAACATATGTAAAGATATAACAACTTTTCTGAAATAGGTAGGAAAGTCGTGTGAGTGGACACACCAGATTTGTTTCTTAAGACACGGTAATATTTTACCATTTCGGGGGAGGGGCTTCAGCTTGAATGTACAGCCTAATCAATCAGCTGCTTAGCAGCCGTCTTCTTTACGAAGAGAATTTATTTTAAAATATTTAATTTACCTAGGTAATATTATTTCAATATATTAATTCTAAAATTACTTATTATCTGACATAAAATATTTTAAAAAATAGATTTTTAGTACGTTATAAGTTTTATTATATTTAATCTTTTGAAATCCCTGTACTAATTACTGAATTATAAATGCTGTTTCGTTAGAAAAAGAATATATTATATGAAAAATGACCATAAATATAATATAATTTTATTAATTTATTTGTATTTCAACTAAATTACTTATATTATAAACATTTGCATATAAAAACAGTTATTGAGAGTTAAAATCATCAAATATAATAAACAATATAAAAAACTTGAAAATAATCATACCCAAAAGTAAATAAGAATCGTCATGCACTATAAAAACAAAATTCATAACTCACAGTAGTAGTTCTACTGTAGTCTTATTTCTTCAAGTTCACTATATCAGCTTGCTCTTTGAAACAGGCAGATTCCGGAACGGATTTTAAATAATACACTAATTTAATAGTTAATAAACGTGAACAAATGAACTTTATCACACTTATAACACTACACGAATATTTAAAATGAAACGAACCTCTACAGGCCAAACGGCGCCAAAGTTAAATAATATGGAGACCGAAGATGTGCACTGTTGAGCTGTAGCAAATGCCAACTTGATCAGAAGATTATTGCAAGCTGATAGGCCGCGAGTTAGCGCCCTTTCTGACCTAGACACGTCAGTGAAATATTTGCATAAGTTTACAACGATGGTCGGTTTCAACAAGTTTTACAGGTATTTTCTTATTATTAATGTTATTATTTATTTAAATTACTCAAGTATAAACGCTAGATGTATTTAATTATAAATTATAATACAAATATTTATTTTTTAAATTATTATGTTTTTAAAAAGATATATAAAATAACATTAACTAACCCAGTACTTAAATAAAAAATCTGGTGAGCGCATCACGCGACAGTAACTTACCACCTTCTTCTTAGCAAAAATAAGTATTTTCAGATAAAGCGGAAGAGAAAGTAAAAATTATAGACGCTATATTTATTTACATTTCGTTGTGGGTATTTTTATTTGTTAATTACCCTTATGTATACAAATTTTAATTTTTATATCGTTGTAATCTATACAATTAAATATTAAATTATACCAACGATATCATTTATGAAAACCGCTTATACATGTACATAATATTGTCAGAGTCCGTATTATATTAAGCTCATGTTATATTTGCAAGCCCATCCTAATATTTCGGGTAAGCTCGGGCGCACTCGTATTCCATTACTGTTACGGTCTCTTATTTCTCCTTTAGTTAATTATCAAATTCTTTCATATTTTATATTTAACTATTTTTTATCTTAGATTTATGTGAAATGATTTAAAAAATGGAGGTATTTTAGAGGAAGATAATATTGAAAATTAACCATTTAATCCCTGTTAGAGAACATCAATGAGAATAAAACCTACATTATATTAAAAATTGCTTTGTAATACACTGATGTACTGATATACTTCTCATATATTTTTATAGAACACATCCCATGGTTTTAAAGAAATGTTAACCAAAGGTTTATTTATTTATTGTTACATTCCGCATCTACCCGAGCGGGTCATTAGCGGCTTTAGATATAATCAAATTAGGTGGACAAATTTAATGTCTTTTATAAATTCAAATACTTTTTGTATCTTTTCTTCGTCATCTGAAAGTGCGTCAGATATGTTGGAAGGCATATTATGTTTTGTTCTGGTGTCAGAATATAATTACCAAAGGTTTCACTTCATCACTATGAGAGTTTCGTGTTCTTGAGGAAGCTTTAAAAAAATTAGTTTGCAAGAAATAAAATTATTTATAAGAAAAAGTAAACCGCTTATTTCTATTTCATAAACTAGATATTCCGATCAATTTTTACTGCATATTTAAGATAAAGATGTAATATTTTAAATAACGCTACAGAGGGGCTTTTGAAGGGAAATGGTATAAAATATATTATAATGTAAAATTGATTAAAATATGTATTAAGATAATTATATTTGTGTTTCAGGTCCGATATCCTCGGCCTTAGTGAACAGGTACGGCTGCAGGCCAGTCACCGTTGCTGGAGCGATCGTCGGAGCAGTGGGTCTGACCCTTTCTGCCTTTGCTCAGAACGTCCAGACTCTCTACGTCACTATAGGCCTCCTCACAGGTAATTTAGATAGACTATAATTGTTATGATATTATATTTATTTATTATATTACAGGAGTTTATTTTCTTGCCTGGAGATGATTCTATATATGCCTGAAATGTGACCTAATTTTAAGATTTATAGTTACAGAGTATTAATTGTTATTATTAGGAATCAACCTTCGACCGGGAAAAATCAATTATATTTCTTAATTACTTCCAAAGGATCCTTTTAGACATGGTGGTGAGAGATTTCTGGAGGCCTTGCACATATGCGTTTATCCCTAGCAATTTTCTTTTTCTTCTCTTTTTCAAGTGAAAGTTGAATTATAAAAATTTTATTTTGTTTTTAACATGAGATACAACTTGTTAGTCGATTTGATTGACGCTAGTATTGATCGGTTGAGTTCATAATGACTATTGAAACAGTTTAATATCCTTCCAAAGTTGACAAAACTGGGAAGAGTGGTCTGTTTCATCCTGGTTCAAGATGACCACTTCAAAACAGTTAAGTCAGTAAGATCATTAAGTCAGTCATTTAACCAAAAACAATATTTCTATCTTTGTTCACTTACGCTCGATTTCTTTTTTTTCGGCTCAACTTAACAATGGAAGATTATACTTATTTAAATTAGTTTTATGAACGTATTTAAATTATCCCTAAGCTATAGAGCGCTCCACTGCCTGATATATTTATTATGCTCACCACCCTTATAGTGAATACCATGACAAACGATCCCCAAGCTATAAATAACAGAGTGAAGTTGGCCTAGAGAAATTAATTGTCCATCAGGAGCTTCCGTGGCCGAGATGATGGAATGGCTCAAAAAAGAGTGGATATAGGGCAGTCCCGCCCAGCTGCCGGGACAGCTCTAATGGCTGATGGCTGATGAACACCTCTGCGAAATCGATTGCTATTTGCCATCGTCACGATAACACTTTTCATTTCCAATTCGAAGAGACAGAAGAGTTACTGTCCTCTTAGCTGTATTGTGGCATGCTCTCCAGGTGAACAAGGCTAGATCTGTAGCGTGGCCAAGATCCATCGCAGTATTTTTAAAGATGTCATTATTTATTTTTAAACACAAAGATAGAATAGTTGTATTTTAAAAAGTAGTAATAATTATTTATTTATATTTTAATAACTAATGTTTAGTTAGTTCTGTCTTCAGGCAATCAATTGTCTTGTTTTTTATGGTATTAACAGTTTTAGATTAAGTCCCTATCACTTTACCTATTTTCTAGACCAGTTTCTTGAATCAGATTCTTTTACACGGTCAAGTTTCTCGCCCAGTTTCTTGGACAAACTCATTTTGGTCGAGAAACTTAACTCTGTAAAAAGTTTTCTTTAGATCGCTATTCTAAATTGATCCAAATTGTTGGAAATTTTTGACCTAACACATCAAGCAAAAAAAAATATGTTAATTACAATCTCGCCTACTTTCGAGAAACTTAATCGTGTAAAAGGGGCTGTAAAGTCAATCGTTACCTCCCCTAGGGGTGGAAGGCCTAAGTATTTCACTAAAATTTCGAGGACAAAGCTTTGGTTAAGAAACTTGAATATGTATTTACTTATATATTTAGGCTTTTCCATTATTTACTTTAACGACTTACTATATTGTTTACAAACTCATTGAATGAATCCTGACAAATATAAATTTATGTAAATTTTTATATAGAAAATTATCTTTATTTAATTCAGGTGGTGAATCCCTCTAAGCCACAAATGAAACACGATATACATAAAAAAGAAAACATTTTGTTTTTTCATACAAAATTGTATGGAATGGAAAAATAAAAACGTTAAAGAAAAATTCGAAGAAATTTAATTCTATAGGTTTTGGAAAACATTTTGTCTAAAATTAAGTAGTTTTTATTTACTTTAGAGTTATAATTACAACAGTAACTCGTTTGTATATTTTATTTTAAAGCTTTATTCGACAATAAAAAAATTATTTTATTTAGTTTTGAAAAAATCATAAACTATGAATTACTGGATATTTAAGGTTGTCTGTTTTTATAATGAGAAAAATATTGTATTATATATAATGAGAGAAGAGATGGTCAGGAGCGGCGGTCATAAAATAACTTCAAATAGTTTAAACTAACTGTTATTATTTCACCACCACACCAAACCATATTTTCCATCGAAAAATGTTAAATTAATAACATTAACAATTGGCCTTGGAAGGACAAAAGCTAGATGGCTAGATCGAATCCACAAACACTACAGTGGCTTAATAATATTATTAAACCACTGTAACAAACACGCAATAAAGCTGCATATAGATAACCGGAGATAAATAGCCCAACATAGGCAGAGATGGAAAAGGATGGTCAAAACGGCAAAAGACCTACAATTCCGTAATACCAACTGAAAAAAAAAGTAATAACTATTTAGCGGCTAATGTTTTTAATGCGAGGTATATCGACCTCCAGGAGGAAAATGGTTCTTAATTTTACAGAGGTGTCTTTTGGATATTTGCCTCAGGTATAATCAGTAGCGGTACTGGTACTGTTACATACAAATTGCTGTTGAAGTTTTGTTGATGTATTTTGCTCCTAATGTTCCTTATTAACCTACTACCAACAGGTTGCGGGTTGGGACTGATCTACCTGCCAGCCATAGTGTCGGTGACCTGCTACTTCGACCGGTACCGCTCGCTGGCCACGGGGATCGCTGTCTGCGGCTCGGGGATGGGCACCTTTCTGATGGCCCCCCTCACCGAGTGGTTGGTGACCGAGCTCAGCTGGCGGGGGGCTATCGCCTTGACGGGCGCACTCATGCTCCACTGCATCATATTCGGCCTCCTCTTCAGGCCTCTGGAGCCTGAGGATGAAGATGATTCTCCGGAGTCTGTGGCCGTACAGCCCATCAACGGAAATGTTCAGGTCAGTCCAATGCATGTTAGAATATAATTTGGTATACTAGTTAGAATTATAATATATATATATATATATATTTTATAAGTACATATTTGTTTTTATGGGTGAGCTAACTTCTTAATTCCATCATACTTAAACAATCTCCACATATTCTCTATTAAAATTATAATGCATGTATAGCTACTGAATATATACACTATCAAGAAAAATGTATAAGAAATTTATCTCTAAAAGCTTCTTTTTTTTTACCTTCAAAGACCACTTAAACATCATTTCATATAGTTTTTTTTTTTTTCTATCCTTCAATATAGGCAAATAGGTTGAAGATTGTGAATGGAATAAATAAGAAACTTTTTTTTTTTTTCTGTAATACTCATAATCTGTACATTTGAAGATTTAAAAAATCACACATGTTTTTCATTTTATTTTCGTATTGATATATTTTTATTAATATTGATTATATGTAGCTTAACAACATAAATTTCTGTATGTTTGCTTTTCATAATTCATAATTTCTCATAGTTGCTTCTCGCAACAATTTATTAAAATCTCCACATTCTAATGTATAAACACACCATATATTACAATTTAAAAATTAATTTAGGGCGGTTCCTCCACGCCCAGTGGTATAATAAACGGCCTCTGGCCACAGATGCAAAGAACGCATACAGGGTGCAGAGCCCTCTTACCTTAAAATGCCCTTCGGCAATAAAAGGAAATTGAAAATTTATGTATATATAACATTTATATATACATATATACTGTATTTTGTAATCAAGATATTCCTGGGGGTTAGGAAAAAAATAAAAAATAATGAAATTTAAAAATTAAGAAGTGTTTTAAATGTGAAATATTTATTCCCCTAATAAATGATATTTTAAGTATAAAATTCACAATCTCCTTAATGATATCACTTGATTTGTTGATCTCACATTTAAGAGGGTGCACCATTTACTAATATTAAAACAGCAATGACATTGCTAAAAGTGCTAAGTGTATGTGTAAAAAAATAAATAATGCGCTTTAGGAATTTTTTTAAAACCTGAACAATATTTGTGTATCTATTTCACCATGAATTCCATATTGAATATTAGTTATTAAGTTCTATTTTACCTGACAAAACCACACGGAATAAAAGATTATTTGTTGACCAGGTTGCGACTAAGAGACCACATAGCATCCATGGAAGCCTAGGAGGGAATAGATTAGCCACTTCACAGCCTGCCCTCACCTCAGAGCACCGACGGTTCGGTAGCGTTGGAGTCATGTATAGGAAGGATATATTCTACAGTGGTAGCCTGGCTCATCTTCCTCAAGACAAGCGGTAGCTATTGCTTTTCCACATGAAATATTTTTTAACACTTATCAATTTTATTACTAATGATTGTAGGGTGGCATTTGCAACTTTGTTTACAGATTAAAGGTCTTTATGCTGAGTTACATACGATTTTAAATTTTTTTTTATAATTTATAAAATCACAGATAATCAGAAAAAATGTTTCTTTTTAATTTAATCATATTTCTTTAATATAATTCATGTTAAAACTTGATTTCTGAAGGCACCTTTTGTATTTACATGCTTTTTTAGATAACTTTCGTGTTTATTCTTTAACATGAATTTTATAAATAGTTTCATGTACATGAAAGGTACTATATACAAAAAACAATTATGAAATAGAGTAATAGTGGGGGCGTATAAGTAATAGTGGGGGTGTACGCGCTGTAACCTGTATAAATCAAATATCATAGCCGGTGTGACATCCTTTTCACTTACCTCATCAGATGGTGAGCAACTCTCATTAACATAAAACATTAGGAACAACATAATTTATAATAAAATGACCCCTTCTATAATGCTAGAGGACATTATGACTGAAATAAAAATAAACTAAAAAAACACTGAATCCATTGGAAACGATCTCGGTCAACTAAAACTAGCAATATCCCAAATAATTGAGGAACTTCAAGCTAGTAAAGTTAAAAGACCTTATTAGAAAAGAAAGTAGAGATGCAGGAGAATGAAATAAATAATCTCAGATGAGAACTGATTAAAAATAATATAATCATACATAAAGTTCCTGAGCCTCAAAGAGAACAGCCTGAAAATGTCTATGATACATTAAAAACTTTATTCAATAGAACTGAGACCAACTTATCTGTCAAGGATATTTCATATTACCGGAGACTAGGGAGAGGTCAGGCCCTTAGGCCAATTTTAATTTCATTTGTTAGCCATAGGGACAAAATGAATTTGTTTGAAAAGAGGGATAAGCTCAGTGAAATTAATTGTTCTATAGCCCATGATCGAAAATTCTTGGACAGAAAGAGAAGAAAAGATTTGTATGAAGCTTTAAAAAAAGTACAAAAATAGATGACAAATCTGTTATTATTAAAAATAAGATCAAATTCAGAGGGACCCTATATTCCCTTGATGAATTACATCCCATTTTAAGTCCACCAGATTCTCATAAATGTACTGATAAAAATTTGCCGCAGGATGATGAAAATGCTGGTAAAAGAAAAGCCAAAGAAAAACTAGTAGTCATTTCATTTTCGCCCCAGAACATCTTCTCACTGATAATAATCCGCTCAAGATAAAATCAACTTGTCTTAGAACTCAGGATGCATCTATGGAAAACATTTCTTCTAGTTCAAGGAATCATTTTGAAAATGCCTCACAATTACAGAAAGAAGAACAATCTGTGGAAATTTTAGCCTATAATATTTGTGGTTTAAAAAGTAAAAAGGATGATTTAATTTTTTTTCAATATGTTAAAAAATTTGATGTAATATGTTTATTTGAGACTTTAGTTGAGAATAAGAATCAGTCAAAGTATGAACATCTATTTAATGATTTTTATACAATATGGGTGCTGGCTATAAGAAATGCTGCATATGGTAGAGCCTCAGGCAGTAGTTTATATGGTGTGAATTTAAAAAGTCCTTTTAAAAACTATATAAAATTTTGTGAAATCTCGAATAAACATTTAGTCATGTTAAGTTTAGATAACTATGAAGTTTATATTAAGCCTGTTTATTTAAACTGTAATAGCTGGAGAAGAGATTATAATAGCTTATATGAATTTCTCTCTGAGGTACATAATTTAAATATTTGTTTAATCTGAGATTTTAATTGTAGAGTGTCAAGTCAACAAGTACTGTCGAAAAAATATATAGATTTTGATGCGAATATTGAATGTTTATGTAGGAATTCAAGGGACTCTTGTTTAAATATAAATGGTAAAAAAGTATTAGAGCTCTGTAACAATTTTAATTTGGCTGTATTAAATGGTCATATGAAAAATTATATAAATGGAGAATATTTGGGAGCCTTGGGAAATTCTGTTATAGACTATGCTATTGTAAATATGAAGTTGCTACCAGTAGTTAGAAATTTCACTGTTGATTATCAGATTTTTTCGGACCACATGCCGATTATTACTTTTTTCAAAATTAAAAATAAGGTTAAAACAAAATGAGTTAATTTATCATTCTAGGGTGGATGGTTTAGTTAGCCGTTTATCTTTAAATGATAATTCGGTAGAAGAATTGATAGAACTTCTCTCAATTACCATCAAGAAGTCTACTAATAATAATCGTTACCCAAGGTCAGTATATAAAAGTAAAAATTCATGATTTGATAAGGAGTGTTTCCAGGTTAGAAAGATGTCATTTATAAGTTTAAAGTTATTTAGAAAAACTTCGTCCCCTCACAATGAATTACAGTATTTAAATTCAAATAGTATTTATAAAAGTCTATGTTTATTAAAAAACAAGCAATATTACATAGATTGTGTCCAGCGTCTGAATAAGATTTATAATAGTAAAGAGTTTTGGAAACTTGTAAAAGTATTTAGAAAAAGTAATTACTGGTCTGTTGGTAATATATCATTACAAGATTGGCTTATGCACTTTAAAACCCTGTACAACCCTCCGTTAATTTCAAACAGAATTTTATACATTGAACCTAATATTACTAATGCTATTTTAGATATACCCTTCTCTCTTGGTGAGTTGAAAGCAGTTTTGGGTAACTCCAAAAATATCAAGGCACCAGGAAGTGATAGGATCCCTTATGAATTTTAAAAGTATGCTCCCAATTCCTTTTTAATCATTTTATTGGCTACATTTAATAGAATTTTTGAAATGGCGTATGTCTCTTTAACATTTAAAAAATTCATTATTTTCCCATTATATAAAAAAGGGGATAAAAAATTGGCTTCTAATTACAGGGGAATCTTCTTCATTAATGCAATTGGCAAGTTATATATGGGCTTAATTTTGGCTAGATGTCTGGACGGGATTGATGAAAACAATATAATTAAAGAAGCACAGGCTGGTTTTAGAAAAAAATATTCAACAATCGATAACATATTCACATTAACGAGTCTAATTAAAGTAAAATTACAAAAGAAAAGGGAAAAAGTTTATGCATTTTTTGTAGATTTTTCTACAGCATTTGATAGTGTGGATCATTATAGTCTAATTTATAAATTATATCAGCTAGGATTTTCATCTAAATTAATTAATTCAATAAAAAGTTTGCTTAGCGATACTAATGCTTCAGTTTGGGGTTTGGATGGTTTGACAAAACTATTTAGTATGGAATCGGGTGTAAGACAAGGTTGTTTGCTTTGTCCGATTCTATTTTCTAAGACTACTAAGATTCTTTCTTAAAAAATTATTTAAATTACCGAAGTATACACCAACACATTTTATTCACTTTGAGACTAAAATAGATCCGTTATTTATCTTCACAATTAAACTCCATTTTGATTACATTATAAAAATTTTGAAACTTCCACCACAAAGATATCCATAAATATTAGCACCACATATAATTAAAAAGTAAATTGCATGGTTTAGGGACTTACTTAATCTGATAGAACTGCATGGAGTAAATTTCAACTTAAATCGATCTAACTGTGATGATGTTAAACTATGGAATTTATATTTACTAAGAACTCAAATTCAGAAAGACATATATAATCAACATATAATTAAAGTACAGAATTCTAAAACTTTCACTTTTTACCCTCATTTAACTTCAGTAAATTATATTGATGACAAAAGCTCATTGAAGGTGATCAGATGGGTAATTAAGATTAGAGCTGATGTTTTGAATTTAAATTATAAACACTTCAAGCAAACAATTAATAATTGTAGTATGTGTATTACAATCGAAACAGAAGATCTCTATCACTTCCTGGCTGCTTGTCCGATACTCTCTGAATTTAGAATTAAATGGTTAAAATCTAGAAATTTATCTCGGGATCAAGTAATAGATTTAATAAATAGAAACAATTGGATAGCATTGGTAAATTACTACAAATCTGCTTTCTCCTATAGAATAATGCTCACCAGAGAATTTAACAATTAATAAATTGGAGAATTTCGGTACCACTCTTTTTGTAATCAAAATATTTATATAACTTTTACATTGTAAATATAATTGTTCTTATTTTGTTATTAATTAGTTGTATATAAATGGATTGAAATATAATTTTGTTATAAAACACAGACTCCTCTGACGGTCAACAGACCATGTAGCACGTCTGATTTTCGGTTTTAAATCCAAAAATATTATTTAGTAATTTATATTATGTAATTTTGATAAATAAAAAGACTTTTCCTTCTTCTTCAACTATGAAATAGACTATCTACACATTCATTTCATGTATACTTAAATGAATTTTCATTCATAGTTCTACTACTTGGTTGGAAGTAAAACCTGGTGAAGAAAAACCACTGATGGGCGGATCACCTGAAAAAGAATCTGATCAAACAATTTGTGGCCTTTCTCCAGAAACTTCATCCATTTTGATGGAAATGCTTGATTTTTCTCTATTTAAAGATCCTATCTTTATAATATTCTCTCTTTCGAATTTCTGCACCAGCCTTGGATTCAATGTGCCTTATGTATATATTGTTGTAAGTATATTCATCAATGGTTAATTATTATAGGAGTGTGTATGCATATTTTTTTATTCAAGAAAATTTAGTTCTATTTTAAAAGTTTTGTTCAACTACTTCAATCTTGTTTTACCCAACTTCCGAATCTGAAAATTGACTATGCTTGATCATTTCAGTCACAAGCAGAAGAGAGGGGCCTTTCAAAAAGAGATGGTAGTTACTTATTAGCTACTATTGGAATTGCTAACACTGTTGGAAGGATAGTACTTGGATATATCTCTGACAAAGATTGGGTCAATAGACTTTGGATATATAACCTCTGCCTGGCAGCCTGTGGTATAAGTAAGTTTTGTTAATTGTTTATTTGTTTACAGTTATATAGTTGGATATGAAGCATAATCATCAGTTGCTGTCTAAACATTTATTCGATATTATATTTTTAAAATTGTCTTCTTTTTTTCTTATAGCTACTGCCCTCAGCTGTTTCTGTTGGAATATGGCCGGATTCATTTTATATGCTTCATTATTTGGCTTTACAATTGGAGCCTATGTTGGACTTACCTCAGTTATTTTAGTTGACTTACTTGGTTTAGATAAACTGACAAATGCCTTTGGCCTTCTTCTACTATTTCAAGGAATCGCATCATTTCTGGGACCACCTATCACAGGTAATGCAATTCTTGTATTGTTTTCTCATTAACTTTTTAAAAGTAAATAATGCATCAAGTAAACCTAGAACATTCCACTCCTACCTGTTGGTATTATTTTGTTTTATTCTTTAATTGAGCATAACAAAAATATAAAGTCTGGACATTATTCTTAGGGGTATTTTGTCCCAGAATAAAATTATATTTTTCATAAATTTCAATCATTCATTTATTCAACAAAAAATTGAAATAACCAGTGAATCATACAAAATGTTTCCCCACATGAATGATATTAGGAATTAATTGAACTTGCAACTTTTCCTTTTATAGATATTTGTTTTTCTAAACCTGTTAAACTGTTCAATTTTTTTTTTTTCAATAAATAGATTGCTAACTTTACTTTGGCGAACTATATATGTATGCAAAGAATCAAGTTGATATAATATTTGTATGATGATGCTTTGATGCATCAGGCATGACTTAACATGCATTGTTTTTAAAATATTTTAATTTGTTTTGAAACAAATTTTTTAGTAAAATGTATCCAATGAATGATATTCCTGATGAAAATTCCAAAGTTCAATCTCAGTAATCCAAACTAATTTCTGCAGAGGGTGTTTGATTGGTTGTATAAACTATTTGCGATAAAAGATTTAAACTCAATACATACTTACAACTTCTTAACTGGATATTCAGTTTATACATGTATTCACTTGGAAACATTAAATTTGGATGTATAAACATAATATTTTTTTTTTTTTCATTTTTCTGGATTATTTTTGTTTGTTTTGACTTTTGGAGGAAATTCATCACTGTTCTTCTCTTAGACACTGTAGAAGAAGGATTTATTACCACAGCATATGGTTCTATGTTTTCTAGACTTCATTGACTTCAACTACAAGACTTATCTACAAGGAAGTGACAAGGATAAATAAATGGCTGTCTTATAGGTCTATCTTTCTCTCCCCTGTTATGAGTAAGGTGTTGGAGAACCTGATGGTCACAAGCCTACAGCCTGTTTTTTCAAGAGCATCCTGTCCATGGCAGTATGGATGTACCAAAGGCAGAGGAACTGAAAATACCTTTCAGAGAGTATGCCATGACGTTGAAGAGAAGGTGGAGAAGAATGTTATGCTACTATTATTTGACATAATCTCCGCCTTCGATAGCCTATGGTCGCCAAGGGTACTCCAGAGGTATGACTTCCAGCAACTTTTTCACTTTGATAAGAAGTTATCTTCAGGACAGAATGTTACAAATAAGAGGTAACTTCTACAAAGTAGAAGATATCATGGAGAGGGGCTGTCCGCAGGGCTCAGTCCTTGGACTTTCTCTGGGGTAACTAGTTTTTGATGAGTTGTTGGGATGCTCGAAGAAGATCAGTTCACCACCACAGCTTTTGTGGATGATCTAGCCCTTATGGTGGCCTCGAACAGAAGAAGAAGAGTGGTGCACCAACCTGATACTAAGATGGTGCGAGAAAAAGAAACTGAAGATGGCAACTTGCTAAAACACAAGCCATCCTCTTGAGAGACAGGACTGATAGAGTTCACCCCAATCTATGATTTTCCAAGGAGCAAGAAGAGCAATTTCCCTCTGCTAATGATTGCGGAAAACTATCCGTATTTCAAGGATTTTCTTTCATGATGGAAGATAATTATAGGTCCAACTCATTTCTCCTTCTGCAGATGAGGAGATGCAACACCTAGACGGCCACTGAACAGTGGAGGAGCACAAGAAAACCATGGCCAAACTTAAAGATATAAGCAATGTGCCCAGCTCATGAAAACTGTATTATTGCTTTTCTGGCAGCAGTGTGACGTTAAGCAGACATGCTTAATATCTCAATGCTGCCAAAACCTGTATTGTCTATCAGGTACCGTAGGAATGTAAATAAATAAATAAAAAAACAATTACAATGAAACATTGTATCTCAATGTTTTATTTCTATTTTTATTGAAGAAAAATGTTTTTTACAAAGTCACCAAAGGAAGAGTGTTTTTTTTTTTTAAACCAACTTATTCTAGCCAGAGTAGGAAGGTCGGGATCCATTCCATGGATCTACCACAAGATGAATTTCAATGCACCCAGGACAGAATTGAACATCCACGTCTGATTCGAAGATGCTAAGATAAAACCTTTACTTAGTCACCACACCCTTGTGTGTGTATGAGCTATTTGGGTTTCTTTTTTCCATTTCTTCTATGTTTTTTCTAGTTATAATCATTGAAGTGTTCAGACTACTTAAACTTGGATTACTGAGACTGCACTGTACTTTATTTTGATGACTAGTCTTCAACACAACTATCAAATACACACAAAAACATCAATCTCATAAGTTGAAGTAAATATTTAGAAAATATAGGATAAGATAGTTTGGCTAAGTTAGCAGCACAAAAAAAAAAAGGATTGGCTAGACTGGGTCTATGAAAACTATAGCCTTAAGAAAGAATCCCTGGAGACCATCTAGAAAAAATCACTTCAATTTGTGATGTTATTTATATCATCAGCACCCTAATATTTCCAATAACCATTACATTATATACATTGTTCAAAATGATAATAATAATAATATGATAATATTATTTCTGATTTTAGGTTGGCTTTATGATGCAACAAAATCTTATACCCTTGGTTTTGCATTTGCTGGAGCCATGATGAGCTTTAGTGGAATCATGTTATTCGCAGTGCCTTCCATTCAACGATACATTGCAAGGCGTTCTTCATCCTTGAAAAATGGCACAGTGATATCCAAAAGTTAACAATAATTTAAATAAGGAGCCAAAAGCAATAAGCCTTCAATTATGCCTTCCAAGCACAAGTTTGATTCAGTTTTAGTGAATCGAATAGTGTAATTTACTGAAAGCGCATTCCTGTTGGGATCCTTAAGTTATGTTTTACTTAGATTTTTTAGAAAACTGTAACTAGTCATTTTGGAATAAATATGCACAGAACTATACCTTTTTCAAAGTGCATTTTCTTAAGAGTGATATTGATTTTTTCCTACTTTCTAAAAGAATATTACTTCCTTAATCATGTTAAAATTAGTCTAAGCATTTCACTTAAAATGTTTTATTTTAGGATTGATCACTATCGCCTTCCTTTTTATTAAATCAATAAAAAGAAATTATGAATTAACTCAAATTAAAGTAGTGCAAAAATATCTTGCGGAATATATTTAGCCATGCTTAGTATAATAAAATGTACAATAGGATATTCTTTTAGTGATAGCAAAGAGGTAATAGATATTATTCCCTGAGTTTAATCATTGAAATACAACCTTCAGTTACATATTCATTTCATAAATACAGTAACTATATTTAGTTAACTTGATATTGAACCGTTACTTTTTATTCAAAACTATTGTTAATGTTATACATAATTTAATGCAATTTTAAATATTAAAATGAAATATTTTTTCTTTTTTATTTTAGGGTTATTTTTAGTATATTACTTGTGAATTTGAGACGAACATGTTACCAAAATGACTATCTTAAGAAAAATGTAAATAAGAGTTATGATAAATTACCATTACTAACTAATATATAATTACGTTATAGAGATCCTAGACTGTTATTTTTTTTATATAAATATATTTTTTTCACCAATTATAACTAACATATGAAATTATTAAATAATAATATTTATGTAGATATAATTTTATTATTATCTTTATTATATTAAGTTTAATTAATGAATTATTTAAACAAGGTAATTAAATGAGATATTTAATAAGGTGCCATTTAAATTGAAATACTAAACTTTTTAAATAGTTTAGTAAAACTACAGTTTCATTAATGAATTATATCATGAACTTTATACTAAATTTTTAAAATAATAAAGAAAGCATCTGGACAGAAAATATATAATTTAAAATTACTAATATTTGAAAACACCAATTCGACAATTTTTTATTTCTATAAATTGAAAAATATTATGTTTTGTATTTAAATGGTTTTATATTGTGTTTAGAAGCCCTTCAATAATATTTTTACTGATAAAGATAAATAGTAATCCAGTTATTATTCTGAATATAGCCTAGAAATCAACTTCTCATTACATTTCCATTACCATTAATGCCATTTTTTTTTTATAGATTTATTTTAAATAATTAGTACTTCCACAACCATGCCATCAGGAAACTGTCCTTAAATAGTTTAAATAATCATTTCTAAGTAGTTCCGATGAAATGAATATGCTTCCTAATAAGTTACATGCCTTATGCAATTCAAATCTATTTTTCACACAAAGAATACTTAGAAAGCACCACATGTCATTTTTTCTTCCTCTAACAATATCCAATAAAAATAAAATAATTTTCTCATAGAAGCTTATACAGTATATTCTTAGATATAAAATAAATATGTTATATGACTCCTTTGTTTATTTAAATACTGTAATAATCATTCCCATTGGGCCCATTTAATGAAAAAATATATATAAATGGATGATTCTATGACTTAAAAATGAAAAAGTTCATATTTCCAAACATGTACATAATACATATCAAAATAATACGAGACTGTTTTATGATTGAGTTGGTAATCATGTTACCTATTTGGAAATATTTTAATTGATTTTGTTTCAAGATGATTTCTTTTAATATTACTTTATTTGCTAATATCAATAGGATATTAATTACTTTGAATTTAAATATTAAGTAGGTAATATATGTAAGTATGAACATTCCAAGGCTACACTGTGTGTTTGAAACATCTTTCTAATCCAAATAATTTGGTTACATGTTCATCTGTAAGTTTGGTATACTTTTATTATTGTATTACTTCAACTGACCAGTACCCATTCACTGTGTTTTTGATATTTATTATTAATTTTCATTTTTAAAACTACTAATATTAAAATTAAACTGTACTTGTATCCGAAATCTTAGTTCTTATAAACAAATAGAGATCAGCGTATAAGTAAATTTGGTTTTTATCTTGTACAAAAGTATAGATAATTTATTCAGATATAGTTATAGGTTTATATAATTAATGTTATTGCAGTTGCTAATAAGACTGAACTGTGATGAATTGTGGTAAAATTTATTGATTGTTAAATATTCTAATTTGTTTATTACTTGTTAATTGTTTTTAAGATTTTATCCAATTACTATGTGATAAATCAACCATGTACCTCATTAGAATTAAGTCATTTAGAAGAACTTTTTGAGGGAAATTAACCATTAAAAAGTTGACATTCAATCTAGTTTCCTCCTTATTAATGTGTGTGGTTGTTCATAATCTTTACTTTGTTGTGTGGTGGGGGGGTGGGGGTGGTTGTGGTGTTGTGTCTGTGTAGGCTCATGTGTGCTACGTGAGGGTAAAGTGTATTGTGGTTAAAGGTTGGCAGGGATTGGGTGTGTGTTGTTATGTGGTGTTGGAAATGGTAAATTGTTTAGTGTGAAGTAGGTTGTGGTTTGGGGGGTGTGTGTGTTAATAGAGCTATTGTTGTGTTGTGAGGTGAAATGTTGTTATTGTGTTAAAGTTGAGGAAGTTTGGATGGGAGAGCGATTGAGAGATGTGAATAGAGGGTTTAGTTTAGTTTGGGATCTCTGATATGTATATATCAAAAGGTTTTTGATTTTAATTATAGTTGAGGGGGGGTAGATAGTTGATTAGTAGGATTAACATATGGAATTTGAGTGGAGAATTAGGGTTCAGAGGTGGGGCCAGTAAAATCAAAACACACTAATTTTTGTGACTCACTATAATTGTAATATGTCTACATTTTAACTTTGAAGATCTTCTACAGGAGTAAAAGAACAAGACACAAAAATAATTATTTATTGATACATAGATAGCAATACAGTACGTGGTGAGGGGTTTGAGTTATGCTGTATTGCTTTTATCAGTGATATAGTTATTGTTATGTTTCTTTGATGTTATGTTTATGGATGTTATGATGGTTGATTTCTGATTATTTTTTTTGTGTTTATATTACATGATTTCATTTTCTAAATATTATTTTAATCTCCTACAATAGTTCTGTATCTTATGCTGAATCTGGTGGTAGGTTGGTCTAATTTATCATTATTTTTTTATCTTTTAACTCTGATGAAGATCCACAAAGTAGGTCAAAATATAGTCACACAAGTAATACAATAAAACATTTATCAGCGTGGTTTTTACTCTATTAACCACACCACTGACCAACCTTTCCTCAAAATATAAAAATCTTTTATTATAAAAGTATTAAACAATTGCTTGTTATTTCTTAACAAAAAAAACTTATTTTCAAAATTAATTTTTTTATTTATGTTTAATAATAGAGTATAGTTCATAATGTTATCCCTCCAAAATCGTACTACAACTATCTTTCTTTTACTTAAGTCAAACCAAAAGAATTTTCTATGTATGTATATAAAATTTCTATAATCTGATTTCAGCCTCACTGATTAATGCATTACTTGCTAAATGTCAAAGCCCTTTTATTTTTACATTTAACTTTTATATAGAAGAATTTCCAGATAGGGACCAAAGAAATATGAAATGACTGTTTTAATTTATTTTACTGAATGTAAGAATGTTGCTTAGATTTTAGCATTCAAATAATACTGTCTGATTGTCTTCAAAGAATGTACGTACTGATAACAAGAAAATAATTTTTACCACACTTAGAAAAGTATTTTTATGTAAATAAATTTATTTTGAAATAAATATAAATTCAATTCCAGTGTGTTTATTATATATTGTAAAACCATTAATATTTTTATGCATATACACAACTTAGAAAAATTTACAAGTATTTATCTAGAAAGAATCTTAATAAACAGATATTTTTAGTTCATTAATTAGAGGTAGAGAGGTAAGAAACACAGGATCTTGTATTTTTTAGGAGAAAAGAGTTAGAAATGCAGGAGACTATAAATGTAGAGAGAATGCTGAGAGTTAATTGTTTGGTACAAGTAAGATCGGAGGAGATATTGTTGACGAGTGGAGGAGAAAAGCCATTTTGGCAGACCATAAAGGTTGCAGAATGTCTCAAGAAACTGAAAACATGCCTTAAAACAGATCATAATTCACTTTAATCTGTCCCTAACTACAATTGTGAGGCAACCAGTCAAAGTGTGAAAAATAAGTAAAGTTACAAGGAGTCTGTACATAGATTGCATTAGAAAATAAGGAGAATGAACGAATAATTAAAGTGTATGTATTGAACTAAATAATTAATGGCAACATAGGGTTTTCAAGAGATATTTCGGTCAATAGTAAAACCTAAGTTTTTAACAAGAGCTGAAAGTGATAGTTTGATCAATTAGGAAGGCATTGGGTCTTAAGAGAAAATTGGAACCTATAACAATGGCCTCAGCTTTCATTGTATTAAAGCTTTAGTTATTCAAAGTTTGCCCAAGCATCTGCTAACGATACATGGTCAGGGATTAACCCTGAAACCCCCCAAAAAAACAAATGAATACAATTCTGGACTTCACCACCATTTTATTGGCTTCCATTTTCATCTGTCAAGAACAACAAAATTGTACAAGTGCACAAATGTTATTTCTTTTGTTTGTATTCAATTATATACAATATAATCATGTTTTGAATCATTTGTTAAATTTATACATATTAAATTTCAGTGATCCAATCAGTCCACACCAATTCTCATAATAACCAGTGCACTATCACTCAATTATAGGTCAATGGGTAATATTTGGCTCACACCAAATTACCCTGACCAAACACTACCAATAACTCAGAAGGAAAGAATAAATAGATTTGGAAGTACTTCAGGGAGCCGTAGTTTTAACAACAAGACAGGTATTCTGTCAAATTCAGTGTTGTTGGTATGAGATTTCATTATGAAGGAAGTAAGGTCAACGAGATATAGATCAAATAACAATTAACTATTAAATGAACATTATGAGGTAAAGTGTAAAGTGAAGGTTTGAGCAGTGTTAGAACAAGAAGTTTAAAAAAATGAGTTTAATTCATCAGTTAGAAATGGAAAGACTGAGGAAGAGAAAGTTTGCAACGGAGTTGCTAATTTGATATAAAATCAGGAGCAGAGGAGAAGGTTTTGCAAAACTGATTCGATTTTCCTCACCTAACCATTGTTTATGTCAAGTAACAGTGAACACTAAATACTTGATAGCCATCTGCTAGCCTTGTACATCTAAAGCGTCTATGGGCTGTCTCAAGCTTCTTAAGCATATCACGACTTTCTTTAAAATTCCAAGGAGCAGGTCGGCAACCGAAGGTATAAGTTTTAAAAGATACATATATATCAGGGATATTGATAGGATTAGGAGTGAAGATGTCTACCAATAGAACAATAGAGGAGTAAGAATAGATTTCATTTCCATTCAGAGTTTCAATGTCAGGTAAGATTTCTTCAAGAGTGAATACTTCTACATTGTGGAAAATTAAAATTTTAGAAAGGAATGCAGAAGTTTGTACATGCACTTTAATAAAAGTCACTACAAATAACAATTAGAAAAAGTTGTGCTATTGTAACTGCTTACAGTTTTCTTGATTGGTTGATATTTACAGATACTGCTCCCTTCCGATAAATCATTCTGTGATGCAAAAAAATTTAAAACCTTCAATAAATAGTCTATATACTGCATATACATTTTTTAAAACCGAGTAGGCAGTTCTTGAAATTCTTCAGCTTAATATATTACTGTAGTCATTCCAATTGAAATCATCACAGACCTTGGCCTCTACATCTCATAAATACATTACTTTTGTTATATCATTACACCAATAAAATATAATAAAAATTTATTTTCTTGAATCATTATCCGCTTAATAACTTAGGAGAGGGCCTCCTCCAGCCCATCTAATCCTCTCTATATAGAAGACTCTAATAATGTATGGTTTCTTTGTCAGTATCTAGAACACTAGAGTACTTGTTTGTCTCCAGTTTTCACTTATTTTTAATGGGCTGCAAATTCAGCATCAAAATTTTCTCTTAAAACAAGGAGCCTTTGCTCATCTGAATGAGAAATAATCAACAACTTAAAAACATACACCACAAGACAGAGCGGATAGGAATTTTATACAGCCTTTACCATAAAGGGTTAGTGAGATGATAGTTTCTAAATAGGTTTCATTCATAAAAAGCTTTAGTTCATTATTATTCTCATTTCAGCTTCCATGTTATTGCTCACATTTTAAAAACAGTTAATACTTACGTTGATTCCATCTAGACGAAACTCTGACCCGACACCTAAACTTTAGTCTTACTTCCATTTATTTCCAAGCTCTTTCTTTGCTGTGACACCTTAAGGGGTCAAGAGTTTGATAGCTCATTTTATAAATATTAATAAATGGGATTTCATTTCATTTCTCAAAACAAGAAATTTTTTACTCATTTTCTAAGTTTTGGAACGATCCAAAACATTTCACCTTACATTTTTTTAACTATATGCTATTAAAACATGTATTGATCAAATTAATTCCAATTTTTCAAGATTGAGAAATAAGATTGCAAATGAAGAAAATATATATATCGAGTAGATTAATTCATGATATAAAAAAAAACAATGAACTGAACTTTGCTGTTTTTGTTAAAAATATTTTATTACTAGAAATGAACTCAATATTTTTGCGCCTGTAATTAATTTTTTTTAATATTAGTTCTTGGAGAAACTGCCTATTAAAATTTACCAACACAGGTACTGTGAAATCCATGATCTCTGCTGTCAGATAAATCAATCTATCTTGGTACATCATTCCTTAGAATCAGATACATATTGAGTTGCAGAAATTCATTACAGATTTTTTAATTGGAAGATTATTATTCGGCCAACTCCTTCAATTATGCATTAGTCTCAAAATTTCATACTTTGACAATTATTTGTATGTTAAGAGTTATGTTAGGAAAATACATTCCACAAAGATAAAAAATCTAAGGCTTAAAATTTACTAATAATATGAGCCAAAAATTTTAAAGACAAATTATGTCATGATTAGAACATTCGGTGATTAAACCTTTCATCTGAACTAATCACATAAACCTGATTTAAGAAATTAATCCCAAGAGAAATTTACAGTGCAGATAAAAAATATATTGAAAATAGTATAAAAGCTTTTTCCATGGGTTGCTACATCAGTCATTCTATCTCTATCTTCATGAGGTTCAATTTTTCTTTCAATGTTTTGCGATATAAGTGTTGTTGAAAAAAAATTTAACCCCTTGATGAGGAAAAAAAACTAACATTGAAGATAAATTATTTATACTTCAGTCTTTTCTTTTTTACATTTATTTCTACTTTTAAAATCATACTACATATAAATTTAAGAAATAATTAATAAAATCATGTAATAGGTTCCTGTTTTACAGCAGAGCCTAATAATTTTATATTGTAGTCTATTAAATGCCTTATTAATCTTATTATGAAAATAAATGTTTGTAAAATAGTAAGTTTAAATGAATATGCACTAAATCACTACCAAGATGACAGAACTTATAAAAACAAAATCAATACTAAATGTAAGTAAAACAACAACACTACTTTACTAACATAAAATAGGAATTTTAAAACAGCAAACAACATTTTGGTTATTAAAGAAATATTAATTATAAATAACATTTATATACTTGCAACCATACTTTTACAGACATTTTTTCTTAACAGGTCCACTACATGTCCAATTAACAAACCTGCTCCATACTACTACAAACAAATATAAAAAAGTAACATAAAATGAACAAATAATTTTTTTATGTACAGCAAACTAAATTACAATTGATTCCACACTTATTGTGTAGGGAGGTTAAGAAGGACATTCTGTCCAGGAGGAAGGTATGAAACTTGGCGGGATCGTGACAATTGGTAGGCAATATCTTCTGCCGCTTCAATTTTCCTCAACTCAACAAGACCTTCACCAGCCTCCCCAAAGGATTTGGCCAACAAAATTGCAGCTTGTGCATCTCCCTCAGCTGATATTATAGAGGCTCTCTTCTGCTGCTCTGCCTAAAGACATACATAACATCTCAAATGAAACAAATGCAGATTGTAAAAATCATACATAACTAAAGTTAATTACAGCTACAAAAACTTCCCAATAATAAAAGCAACAAAATTATATTTTATTAATAAAAAGTAATTAAAAAAGAACATAATCAATATTTCAACATTTAAATCATAATTCAGAAAATATTATTTCAAAGAACTAATGTGATTTATACAAATGATGAATTATGTAAATTAGAACACAATATATGTTTTTCCTTTGATATAATGATTCCAAAACAATTCAAGTTAAATTCTGAAGATCATCCTGGATTGGTGCCAATCTAAAAAACAATCTGTCGAGTAGTCTCAGAAGAAAACTGCATACGACGGACGCGACAATACATACAGCGGACAAATAGAAATTTTTCAATACTGAGACAATTCAAAGGCTCTCTATGACTGAAATGGTAGTCATTAATGAGAATCTCAGATATAATTATGACTGATTATAATTAATAATTATGACAGGAATTATTATGATGTTAGAAGAATTAACCCTCAAAATAAATTATAAGAGCAAATTTTTTAAAAAGTAATTTTAATCATATAAACAAAAAAATAAATTAGATTGACATATAAGAACATGCTATTAGAAGCAATAATTTAAAGAATGTAGAACAACACTCAAAGTTCATAAAAATCATGATAGATCATACAATTAATAAATTAGATAATACCTTCTCAACCAAAAATCGAGCTCTTTCAGCATCTTGTTGTGCAACTTGCTTTAATTCTACTGCATGAGTAAACTCTTTTCCGAATGTCAAATGAGTCTAAAAACAGTAATAGAAACTATATGATAATTAATTCAAATCACATGAGAAAAGAAAGCCTTAATATAAACATTAAAACCTTTACCACTAACAACCCATGAAGGGTCTTGGCTGAGTACATTGTGAGGAGGTACTGTTACAAAGCCAACGGTTGAGCATGGAGGTGACGGACCAATATCACGCTCAACCACCAGGTTTTCCCCCTTAATTAATTATTTAATTAAGAGTAGCCACTTTATAGAGGCTGAGATTTGTCCCAGGAGGGTCTCCCGGCCTCAGGGTCGATCCACAGGTGATGAAAAATTACTAGCCATCATATAAACTCTCTCACTTCCAATATAAACATTACGATGATATAATCATAACTTGAAGGCTTTGTACATTACAAACTAAGAAGAAAACAAACATTAAGTATTATCCTGCAGTTCCAAAAATGTTAAATTAAAATATTGAACTTAACTTTCTCAAACTCTTAAATCACTTTTTTTGTTTTTTCAGTTAAAGAGAATTTTAGTTTTATAATACTGAAACAAATAATAGAAAATGGAAATAAATAAATTTTAGAATTGTTCTGGGCTGTCACATAGTTGCATTTTAGGCTTTTCCCGGCTATTAAATTAAAGTGAAAATTAATAATTTAACAATGATAAGTCTGTTATAATACAGTTAAAAAATTTATTTTGCAAAAGTTATCATTCCATCTAGTTTAATAAGAACATTATCATAAGAATAACGGTCTCTTTCATGATCTAATAACATTTCTCATTGCTTATTGAATATAAAAAACACTTAATAGCAAAGTTATGCTTTCTTCAATTAATTAATTCACATCAAAACTATATTTAAATAATAAAAATTTAATAAAATTAAAGTCTTAGAAGTATTAATTACAAACTAAACATTACCAAAGCAATATCATCAAGTATCACACCAAAGTGACTGGCTCTTTCTGTTAGTTCTTCATTAACTTTTTGAGACACAAGCTCTCTTTGAGTAATTAATTCACCTGCATCAAACTGGGCCTTAAAACAAAATTACAAGTTTTATCAAGCTGTATTCTGGAACCACAGACTATTTCAAATTTTATCACTATGGAAATTTCCTAGCCCTAATTTGAGCATAGGTATATTACACTTATAATAACCTACCAAAATTAAACTTGCTACTGAAATATTTTGCAGCTTTGCTAAAACCATCAAGTAAACACATCCCTAAAATTTAATTCAATTTTGGTGATAAAAATTCCAATTAATGTTTGGATTTAGTTAATGATGAGATATCAGTTTTATGGTATCATTGTCTGATTCAGTATGTGAAACATTTTAAGCATCTTGAAAAATCAGACAATTTAAACAAGTGATTCTTTATTATTATTACCTTTTTTGATGGGCACGATTGAGTTTAATTTACATTACATAATCAATATGGATACATAACCATATCAATAAAGTAATCACCAGTTTTACAATGCACTTAAATTCAATTAATTAATTTTATCAAATCAAAATAATTTTATAATCAGAGAAAAATTGTATATTTAAAATCAATACCAAACTTAGAAGTAATGAGAGGCATTCAGACATATGTTGGGAAATATTTCATCAGAAAATTTTCAAAAAAATTAACTGACACATTATAATATATAATGACCAAATATGATAACATACACACAACTAAATATAAAAATAACTTACAACAACAGCTTTCAGGACTTCAGTGGTTATAGATGGTAGAACTCTTTCATCATAATCGATACCTAATATTGTATAAATTTTTGGAAGTTGTTCTGGTACTGGTCGAAAAAGAATTCTTAAAGTTATGTTAACATTCTGTAAATCTGAAATTTTTAACAATTTAATGAGTTGTGTACCTCAAAAAAAAGTTAAGTACGTATAAGTAGCACAATTTCAATTATAAAGATTTTACTAAATATTCTGTTAAAAACCATTTACCTTTACTTCCTGTAACAGTTGGAATATTTCTAGGGCGAGATCTAATATCAAAAATAATAGGCCTTTGTACCCATGGAATAAAAAAATGTGTTCCTTCACCAACTACATGATTTTTAACACCAGTAAACCTATCAAATATAACTGCTCTATGACCACCATCAACTGAAATAGATATGTTATTTTAAAAAAAAAAACTTAAGGGTTTTTTAGTAATTAATAACATAAATTGATAAGTACCATTGAATAAAGCTGAATTAACTACTCCACCTACTAATGCAACACCAAGACCAATTTGACCAATTCTATTAAAAAATTGAGATGCCATTTTTGTTTAATTTTCTGAAAAAAAAATGAGGACTATTTAAAAAATTACTACTTCAAAATGCCACCCTCACGCCGGTAAGATAACCTATAACTCAAATTAATAAGAAGGACTGATCAAACAATACTTTCATAGTAAAAATCAAGTTACAATATAAAAATGTTGCAATTTTTTAAAAATATAACCATAATTCTTACCAAATACTTGAAATACAGCTGCCGACGTCTTGAAAAAAAAAGAGAAAAGTTTTATCAAATCACACAACGTAAGGAGGTTCTACAACCACTTGGAGTAGTGTTGGTAGGTTATAAATGATAGCGATCTAGCCATGGATTATTTTTTTGTTTTATACTTTATATTTTTAATTAGAGTTTTTAAAACTAGCGCAATTAAAAAGGACGAATACCATGAAGAATTGTTCATCAAGCCGCTTGATGGTTTCATTTATTCATATTTCCAATTTACCACTATATGGGAAACACCATTTAAAAATGATTTATGTAGGTATTTTTATAAAATAACTTTGGTCAATTTTTTTATATAAAATTATTTAATTTTATGTTTTCTTTTTAAGTCGATCACTGTCATCTTTTCCCTAGACCTATGGGTGAAATAATTCAGAGACATAATGTGCAAGAACTTCACTTATCCTTAACCAAAGGAATTTGGAGATACAATGCATGGGGATATCCTGTGAAATCTGCCCCTCCCGGTGCAGAGGTTTGGGCTTGGTTTAAGCCCAATACAACTAAGTATTTATATTTTATTCAAAAATTGTTTTGTTAATTTATGTACTTTTTCAAATTATTTCATATTTTATTCCTCAAAGTATTGATGCTAAATGGAGAGAATTAACTGGTGCCTTATCGGGACTTCTATGTGCCTCTTTGAACTTCATTGATTCACAGAATACCATCAGCCCTAGAATTTCATTAAGACCAGAAGGCATTGAAGCTAAACCATCACATCTTGAACCAAATAGTCATGAAAGATTGCGTTATTCCAGTTTACCTAGAGAAATAGTTTGTACTGAAAATTTAACCCCATGGAAAAAGCTACTTCCATGTAACTTGAAGGTGAAAATTTAATTTAGTTTTAATTTTTCTGATATATTTTTTATTCATTTTACTCCTACTTATATTTATTGATTGGTTTAGTAATTGTCTTCATTATTTCAGAGGGGTCTTTCTACACTCTTGAATTCAGATAATATCTATAATACAGTTTATCATTCTTTAGGGGTTCATTTTAGACCTATCTGTTTGGTAAGTTAGTTTTATTGTCTTAATTCATGAATTTAACAATAATGATATGAGACAGCTATCAATAAATTTTAATGCTTAAATGTCATTTTTTTTTTCTTAAAGTTTTTACAATTTTCTTAATTAGGTTCATAATCATATGCTATTTTAGCTTTACTTTATTATCAATTTAATCATAATTTTTAAGTCCTTATTACATAATATACACCCCTAATCAATATTCTTATTCTGTCTACTTTATTCACTGTCTCAAAAAAGTTTCCATACAGTTAGTTGTTTTTTAACATTGCTTATAATTTATTAATTATACTATTTTTATTAATCAGAAAGGGTAGTAGAGGCAACGTGTATCAACATGATAACAACAAGTTCATACAGGATCAGTAATCCCATAGCAGGAAGAAATACAACTTTAATCCGAATGTCAACAAAGTTTCCTTACATTTATAATATCTTAATTCTATTTCTATTAAATGTCATTATTTTTCTCAAAACTGTCATCTGAACACTTTAGTTAAAGTTCAGCCTACTTCAAATCATCATCATGTATGTAGAGCAGTGCATTTTGACCAAATTGTACGATCAAGAAGTCAAGGATTTTCTCTCTGAAAAATTGAAACTTTATTCAATAAACAGAAACTATGCAGTACATGTTGAACAGACACAATTAATTAAAAGTGTTGGAGGACAAGTCTTGTTCAGGTCGCCCAAGAAAATTTAACATAATCCATATAAGGACTATTCTGAACCAAGTGTGTGAAAATCCCCATATAAGTGCAACATCCTTAGCCAGTAGGCTTGAAAGAGATTATGTGTAAATCCAGAAACTATAGAGAAATATTCAATTTTTCTTTTCAACTCCGACATTATCATCTTTGCTATTTTTTAAAAATATTATATGTATGCTTTTTTTTAAATGTTATCCGCTTGTTTTCTCTGTAAAACCTCTCAAACTATTTTATTTTGTTTCAGTGTAAAATATGCTATGGATGTGGAAGAATTCTTAATTGAATGAATCGAATGTGTAAAGGAAAATATTGGATTTTACACACAAATATTTTATTTTTATTTTCAACTTCACACTGATCCACTTTTCTATTTTTTTTAAATTAAAATAAAATATGCTATATATATTTTTTTAAAAATGATATACGGAATATGAAAAGGATACCGATGCTGACTGAGCTGCGCTTTCGGTGGCCAGTCAGTCTAAGAGATTGGCGTTTACCATGGAGGATGCCAATAAGCCAGAAAGTTTCCTGGATTCTGTTATCTTCTCAAATGAGTTAAAATTCTTTTTGTACCAGATGGCAGTTATCGTGTCTGGAGATAAGACAACGAAGCACTTATTACAAAGAATTTACGCCCGACCTTAAAGCATGGAGGTAGAAGTGTAATGATACAGGGGTGTAAGAGTGATTAAGGAGTTTGCAATCTTTTTATTATTGCTGGAATTATTGACCAGCATGTATTCCTAAACATTTTAACGAACAATTTGAAAAGTTCTGCTGAAAAACTTGGACTTATGCCTAGATTTATTTTTTAACAGGACAACAATTGTAAACACACTTTCAAAAAAATGAACCAATAGAACATTTTCGGGATGAATTAGGACGTCATATGAAAAATCATGGTATTCGAACTGAAGAAAAAGAAGCTCTATTGGCAGAATGGGATTCAATTAGTGGTGAGGTAACTAAAAAATTTGTTTGTAGTATGGAAGATAGACCTATTGAAGTTTTAAGTGCAAAGGGTGGTTCCACAAGGTATTAAAAGTGAATAATACAAAGTTTGTATAATATTTTTGTCATGAAATTTTTTTGAGTTATTATCATTAATGTTTATATTATGATACTGTTATATACAAATCACTACCAATTTTTTTTTTTTTTTAATTTATTGTCAAATAAAAATTGATTATTTTTCAAGTACGTTTTTTAAAAGAAAAACGAAACTTTTTTGAGACAGTTTTTCTTTATATTTCAATTTTCATACTTTCACATTTTTTTTTTTTTTCCAGGATAAATTATGTAGTAGGAAAGGAATTGAACTTGTTCAGACTGTTTCTCTAGTATATGATTATGTAATTATTAGCGATAATGATCCACAATGGTCTATCCTACGACTTTTTGGGCAAGGGCTGGGGAAAGCCTGTCCACTTGCCAAAACCGCCAATATTTACATAGATATCACTTCGAATCAGGTATAAGCTTATTTTATTTTTCTTAAATCTATGTTTAATAAATATATATAGAAAGAAACAACAAAAAAAAAGAAACGACTTCAAATAGATTAATTTTCAAAATAAGTTTATATTTAACAAACAGTAGTCTTTATCACAGGTTATATAACATTATATTTATAACATGTGTTTATTTTTAAATGAAAGAAATAATATTAAGTCTTATCTGTATCACACTGGACCTTAACTCTCCTCTGCCAGTTTATGAATATTCTTCGTAAACTAATATCTGAATCTTATAGGTAGGTTAAGGCTGGAGTGAATTGTCGTTAGACTATACTATTTCACCAATAAAATTTTATGCTAGTTAACAATAAGAACAAGATGTACCGAACTTACTAAATTCATTTCTTGTGTTGTTCCATTGTACTGTGGTTACTTTATTCGCTTGAAGGAAGACAATGGTTAAGAAAAACTAAAAAAAAAAAATCAGGTGTGTGCACCACACAACTTTCACTTACCGCTCAACTTTTTTTCCAGTTTCTTTTCGTTTGTATGTTAAGTATGTTATATAGATAAATTTAAAGGTGAAATGACTTAAGCGAAGTTTCATTGAAATCGGTACATTCGTTTAGGCGCTACAGTCTGTAGGAACGCAGGTTTTTCTGCATTTTTATTTTTTTCTCCTTTATTCAATTATCAAATTCTTTTTTAAAAAAATACAGGTGCGAAAAACGCATAAGAGATGAAGGAGGAAGGGTAGGAGCGATTACTCAGGCAATAGATTGGAGGAAATTATTGAAGAAGGAGTATGAGGATATCTTCTTTGAGGAGGGGGTATATTAGATGTAACAGGGGAAACTGTTCATGAAATTCTGCTGAAACGAGTTACATACGCAAAATAGAGGTGGTACCCACAGGCGTTAAGACAATATATCCGGGAAGAAATAGTAAATTTAAAGAAACAGGGTGTCATAATAGACAGTAGGTCACCATATAACAGTCCCTCGTGGGCAGTGAAGAAAAAGGGTGCGCTGGACGAGAACCAGGAAAAGCATAGAGTTGCCATAGATTACAGGAAACTAAACAAAAACACTGAAAATGAAAAATACACAACCTCCAGATTTGAGGACTTCCCGAAAAGACTGAGCGGGGCAACATTCTTTAGTACGTTGGACCTGAAAGCAGGTTATCATCAGATCAAAATGCACCCCAAAGATCAGTATATGACGGCATTTACAGTTGAAAGAGGCATTTACCACCTTTGAATACATCATGCAGAAAAAGGGCTAGAACCGGATGTGGCGATGTCAAAGGCTATCACGGCATATAATCATTCAATTCATACCACAACAGGTTTTTCACCTTTTGAGATCCTCTTTGGTTTGCGGGTACAGAGCAGGGATAGCACGAGAACGACAGTGGACAAGATTTATCGGAACGTGTCGATAATAAGAGAATAGTGTAGGTGAAACGATGGGAGAAAGTCTGGAGTAAAATTGAGAACGAAAAAGGTAGGAGGGTGACAAAAGGTAACATAGGAGTCAGGGACGTACTAGGCGATATTAAAATTAGAACGCTAGTGTACAGAAGGAGAGGGTCCAATAGGGGCAAGGAGTTAGTGAGGTATGAGAGCCCATTCAGGATGCTTGCCATTCTTGAACGTAACATTGTGTCTATTGAGAGATTGAAAGAGCCTAAGAAGTGCAGTACAGTCCACATTGAACAACTAAAGCTTCCAAGAGGAGCGCCAAATCAACCATAAATGGCTGGAATGTCCTCGGGAAAGAAAGTTTTATTTTTGTACTATTACAGATTTTTTTACTTTCACTTACCTATATATGTAATATATATTAAGGGTAAGTATTGCGATCGTGAAAATTTTCGAGTCTGAGTTTTTAACGGAAATACACGTTTCGAGGTAAATAACCAAGTCCCGAATAATGGTCTGTGTGTTTGTGTATGTTAGCAGTCTAGCTCAAAAATGAAAAGTCGTATGAAACTGATATTACGTATTTAAGATAGGTATATGCCTTAGATGCCCTAGCAACTTTTTCCTTAATATCGGCTAACCGGAAGTGCCACTTTATATCAACACTGAAACACATTTTTACAATTTCTCAAAAACTGCTTTAACGATTTTGATTAAACTCCGTGTATCATTGTATAATTAAGTGGTCTTTAATATCATTTAGGTCTTATCCCCATTGATGTCACTTAAGAGGGCTCAAATGCCCAATGTTCATATAATACATCTTCATCTAAAGTACCTTTAATATGGTTCATTTCAAATAATTAACTATCTCTCATTATTAAAAGTTATGAAAAAATGCTAAATGCTCTCCGGCTCATGATAGTAGTCGAACTCCCTGTGTCCACGAGACATCTCAGTCCACCTGCAACTCGGATAATGGACAGACCGCCATACTCACTCCTCACACTGTAGTTCAATAGCACACGGTCGCCCCTCGGCCACCACCCACCTCAGGCCTCTACTCGCTCCCTCCTTCTACCTGTTACCTGCCAAAGTCCGCTCCTTCACCTGCTCCTCTCTGCTTCGCCTCTGGAAATATAATGGAAAGTTCCAAATGTATAGCAGTTTCATGATATTTTAAGATTACCCTGGTGATTAGTATTTCTTTTCAATTTTTAGTTTAATGAATCCAACACTGAATTAATCATCCAGATGATGATCAATAATCTCAATAGGATTACTGGGAATAGCCTATTGAGAAGGCCCAGGACAGCTTCATGCGTCTGTCTAACCTATAAATAATAATGTAAAATAAAATAAAAATCAAATTATGAAATATTGAATGCTGTTATAGTTTTTATATCTGGGAGTTTATTCTTATGTTACTAAATAGAGATACATCCATATTATGGGTTTATTTTTCAGCAGTTTAAAGTTTCATGTTTTTCTTTACAATTTAGAGTAAATAGAAGGCTATTGTCCTCTGTTTCTGAATATTTATAGATTATACCCTTTTATGTGTTTTTAATATTTTTCTGTGTGAGTTAAGATCTACTAGAAAATCAGGTTTTGAAAATGATCATCCATGTTTTAATTATATTTTAAATCATTGAGCTATCTATGGCATTCAGTAAATCAGAGTCAAATATATTATTTTTCTATGGCTATATATCTCTTTTCTGAATGAATATCTTCTTCAATTTTATAAAGGCAATAAATCAAAGTTAGTTTCTTTTAATTTCCATTTTCTAGTTGGTTTTCTAGTAGTTTGTATAAAAAAAAATATTGTTTCATTTATATTCTGGTGTTGATATATTTTTCTTTAGTAACTAAATTAAATTTTATCAAATTTGTGATATTGTTTATTTTGTAAAAAATTTTATATCCTTCATATTTTTTTTTCAGACTGGAACAAGTTTCACCTTAAAACCTTCAAATTACAAAGTATTAACTAGTACTAGAGGAGGACAAACAACAAAATTAGCTGCATTTGACACAAAAGCGATGGGGTACGCTGGACTCTATAATATTGAAATGAGATTTTCTAAGGGTCCTCTCTCAGTAGTCAGAAATAGAGTTCCGCCTATTGTCTCTGCAGAGCGATCTCTAACAGGTGAATAATTTTAACAATGGTAATGATATAAGGCTTACCAAATCCTCAAGTTCAATCCCAATACTATCATCAATTGCTAACAATACACCTCCCTTCACTGAACTCCATCAAAACCTAAATCTACCAGATTAAATCAAAGGCTTTTCTCTCATCTATATTGTTTTATAAGTATTAAATAATATAATGCAGCAGATTAAATATTTCTGTCATTAATGCTTCTTTGAAAAACAACTTTTATCCTACTAGCTTTTTAAGTTTAAGGTAAATAGGTTCCTTGTTGCCATATCATAGAGATTATTTTTACAGTACAAGATTAGTTAATATTATTCTTCTATCCTCCAATAAGCTAAACTTAATTTTTCGAATGATTAAGAAGATTCTTTTGTCATCATGTGAAGCTAAAACAACTCTTTCACAATTGGACCTATCTAATCTCGATATGTTCTATTTTTATTATTTTAAGCCTTTGTTTAATAATTTGTTATCATTAGATGAAAGTACTAAGTGGAACACTTGAAAGACCAGAATCTTCCCTCCTACAACTACAAAAATTATTGTATTTGATTGTTTACATCATTATATAATCATAAATATTCCTTGCATTTTACCAAAAATAACATGTATCATACATATTTCTGTGCCATTCCCCTAAATTGGGCATTGAGTGAGCTCTTTATTACTAAATTACTTTGATATAGGTGAAAAGAGAAGTAATGTTTATGATGCAATAATTTGATGTATAAACGTTTTAATAATTAAAAATGTTAAAAATTATTCATTTTATTTGTCTATGAATGATTGATTTTACTCTTTCTCAAATATCAACAACTTTCAATTGCAGATATAGATTAATGTAATAGACATTGAGAATTATCATTTTGAATCATATTAAAATAATTTAAATAATTATATCTGTATTGTGAAGGTGCAACACGAGATTTATTTCTTGTAATTTTAATGAAAATATAAATTAAATTTTACTTTTTATCAGGTTATGGACAAGAATTTGGAGGCATTAAAACAAGTATTAAAAATCGATACCGTGCACCTATTAAAATAATATTGCTAGAAGCTATTCCTTGGTATGTTTCTGTATATCTTCATACTTTAAAAGTATTTAGCAACGGAATCGATCTCAAGCCAAGTAAGATTACATTTAAGTGGATTTTATTATTTTGATGATGTAATTTATTAAATATTATGCTCTTTTATGATTATTTCTTTAATGTTATTTTTAATTATGTACTAAATTTGTTTCTGGTGAATACACTTTTTTGATGTACAAACCTACAATTATTTACTTTTTAAAATCCTTTTCCTCTTCTAGTCAAAAGAGTATTTCATCCTGGTCGAGAAAGAGAGCGACCTCATCAATTGGAACTTGTTTTGGAATTGCCTCCTAAATCTGTCACTACTGTATCCATTCAGTTTGATTATACATTTCTTAAATGGCTTGAGTACCCTCCTGATGCACATCATGGGTTTTATGCTGGTGGTAGCTCTATCACTGCTTTCCTCCCAGTAGCTAGAAATTACACTGGAGTTCCAATTCAATATAGTCTATTTTCATCTAGGTAATTATGATTTTAATTTTTAGTTTTTGTATTCAATCCTCAATTATTATTATTGTATTGAATGTATTTTAGCATAAATGCTAGCGAAAGAGGATATGTTGTAAGATTGACAACTGAAACACTGATCATTTCATTGGCTACTCCTGATTTCTCAATGCCTTACAATGTCATCTGCCTTGCTTGCACTGTTGTAGCATTAGCATTTGGACCTTTACATAACATCACAACTAAAAGGTAATCATTTTTACAACTTATTTAGGCCAAAGGATTTACTTGTAGTCTTAGATGATTCAGTTTGGTTTGTTATTATTTCTGTAAGTCAAGGTCAGGAGTTAAAATTTTTTTTTTGTATTGACTATGCTATTTTTTATTTTCATAGCTTTCTAAAAAAGTATTTTAAATAAATAAAAGGATGTGTTCTAAATCTAAAATTAACACATCACATTTATTTGTAAAAACAAAATCTCGTGCACGCATCACACAACTTTCACTTACCACTCACACCCTCTTCTTAGCAGCAATAAGTATTTTCAGACAAAAGGGAAATGAAAGTAAACATTATAGACACTATATTTCATTTTGGGTATTTGTATTTGTATTTGTTTAATTATTCTTTATATACAAATTTAAGTTTTAATATCGGTTTAATCTATATAATTAAATATTAAATAACACCAACGATGGCATTGGTTTTTATTGGCATTTATGAAAACCGCATATGTATATGTGTATAATATTGTCGGAGTCCGTATGATATTAAGCTCATGTTACGTATGGAACCCTGTTATAATCTTTCGGACGCGCTTGTATTCCTTTGGTTCCTCCATTTCAACTATTATTAGAGATCATTATGATCTGTTATTTCTCCTTTAGTTAATTATCAAATTCTTTCATATGTTATATTTAACTATTGTTTATATCAAAGATTAATGTGAAATGGTTAATTATTTCAAATAAAAAAAATTAAAGGTACTTTAGAGGAAGCTAAGATTGAAAATTAGACATTTAAGACTTGTTAGAGAACATCAATAACAATAAAATCTACATTATATTAAAAACTGCTCAATAATACACTGATATACTGAGTTTAATCAAAATCGTTAGAGCTGTTTTTGAGATAAACGTAAAAATATGTTAAATTAATTATATAAAATGCCACTTCCGGTAAGTTGATTTTGACGAAAAAGTTGCTATAACATCCAAGGTATATACAAACATTGAATATGCAATTTCACTTTGATACGACTTTTTGTTTGTGAGTTAGACTGATTGAGACATACACACACACACACACACACACACTGACCATTTTACGACACTAAGTTATTTGGGCTCCGGAGACCTCAAAACATGTATTTCTGTTGAATACTTGGATTCAAAAATTTCCACGATTACAATACTTACCCTTACTATATATTGCATATACAGACCGGTAAGTGAAAGTAAAAAAATAATAAAAAAGTCATTTTTAAAAAATTTTGTTCTGTCATTGTCATAATTACAATTAATCAACAATCATAAAAAGTAAAAATTAAAAAAAATACTGGGGTGAACCTATCGGTTGTGAACATATAATCTATTTTACAGCAATGACATAAGTTTACAAATATCGTCTTAAACAACTTTTGCAATTTTATTTTGTTTTATTATTTTCAATAATGAATCATAGTAATGGACCATGATAAAAATTCTTAAACCCACCTCAAAATTTGAGATTTCTACTTTTCAAGATCCTACTGTTCATATGAAAGAACATTATCACATCTCAAAAATTAAAGTTTAAAATTTTGGGGAATTTATGCAGAAAGTCATTAAAAGATAAGAAGTATTAAACAAGTTTTATACTGGTCTTCTAGATAAAATCTTCATAACAATATTAATTTTTTTTTTTTCATTTGCCTTATACCCTCGGAACTGACTTAGATAAACCCAAATCATAACTAAGTTTAAAAAAAATATATATCTATGTCACAATCGTGAATTCATTCTTATAAAATGAATACACCCTTTACTTATACACCTACATCAGTGCTCCTGGAATTATCTCTGATTCCAGACTAAAAAAGTTTAAGAAAAGTCTTTGTTTTATTTATTTGTTTACTCGGTACTCAAAGAGAAAATTCTTGATGGTATGCAAATAGGCAGCAAGAACTCCTGAGTTTTAGAAAATCCAAACTATAACTCCCGACCAACATACTGTTCTAACTGAATACATCTGTTTTATCATAAAATTGGTACCAAAATGCAGAGGTTGAAACTTTTTTAAAAAATTTGAACTTAATGGTTTTTATGAGTTTTAAAGAAAAAAATTATAAAATTTAAGTTCTGAGGAACTTTTTGTAATAAAGTTTTAGGTTTATGATAAAACTAAAACTTTTATTTTTTTAAGTTTAAGAATTTATTATAGATCATTATAATCTCTTATTTCTCCTTTAGTTAATTATCAAATTCACTACTTAAAAATCACACAATTTTTAAGAAAATAAGTTATGTTAAATGATGAATAAACTATAATTGGCTTTAAATCATAGTTACTATTTATTTTAAATTATTTAGTTGATTCTAATGTCTCATTCATTAGTTTAATTATATAAGAAGAAAGTAATTTTTCTGATAGACTTTCTGGTGAAATCAACAGAACTTTTAAATAAAAGTTCGGTAAAACCTTTACTTGAAAAGTTCTACTTCCTAAATAACTCCCAAAATAAAGATTCCAATCATACTGAAACTGGTTAAAATTAAAAGTTTTAGATTTTTAAAATTTAAGACTTAATTGAATAGAAATAAAAATAAAAATAGGTAAATAAAAAATAAATAAAAAAATAGATCAGAAATTTTATTTCAAGCTCTACTAAAACACGAAATTGCAATAAAATTTTTTTTCAACCAAATTGATTTTTGACAAAATTTGATATTGACTCAATAATGTTGACCATATAAGGGGCCCTGTTTTAGTGTATCTAAACAATGCAATTTTTTTTTTGTTTTATTTACCCTTGAATATCATTCCTTTTACAGATTTGTTGTATCAAGTGAAAAAGAAAAGAAGGGACTTTTACGATCTCCTATTTCATATCTCATTGACCAGGTGAAGAAATTACGGACAAATCGAAATGCTTCAGAAGATTCAACACAAAATTTATCTACGAATGAAAATGATCCAAAAGAATCATCCACTGAAAAATAGTATAAGATAAACCAAAAATTTAGTTTAATGATTTCTGTGATAATTGTAAAACGATGTCATCTTCCATGAAGTTGTCATAGGAAAAGTTTTACTCTTAATTTCAATCTAAGTTATACTCATCATTTCCATCCTATAAATTTATGAGTATTATTGCCATTCTCTGCTTTAAGATTGAAAAAAATTTACCAAAAAGTTTGTACAAATTTAGATTTATTTTAATTTTTAGATTAGAGCTTAAAATAGTATTTTATCATTATTTTTTTTAAGCTCAGAGGATGATGTAAATTTGTCAACATTTAAAAGAAGTTCTGGTTTTTGTAATATTTTGGAAGGCTTGTTTAATAATTATTATATATTAAAAATATGTTCAAACTGTACTTATCCATGACATAAAATTTGGAATCCTCTTTTAAAATACATTTTCTAATATTGAAAATTCTCATTCCAACCCTTATTTATGATTGTTTGTTTATTTGTTTATGTTCTTCTAGAGAAGTGTAATTTTTTCGGCTCGTCTCAGTTTAATATAGCGAACCAACCAAATAAATGTATCAGTTAAGATCGTACTGTTTTGTAACATTTCCATTTTTATTAGATATAATATGTTGTTATTTCCCACCTTGACTGAGATTTCACTGAATGGTCAGTTTGTGTGCATTTATAAATGTTTTTAAATAAATATTATTCATATTTTCAAATCTTCAGGACTTTCTTCCTGCTATTTTTTTCCTAACCGATTTTTTCCTTGCAGTTTTGTAGTATAGTATTTTAAAAACCATCATTTAGGTTTATTTGCCAATATTGTATTTTAGGTTCAATAATAACCACGAATAAGGTTGAGATTTTAATAAAATAAAAGTCTAAAAGGAAACGACACAGCATGGATTAGGACATACGTGGAACGTGAGATAACTCACCAGCAAGGAAGTGGAGATCATTGAGGAAATGACGTTGTATAGGATGGACATCCTGGGATTAAGTGAAGTAAAAAGCAAGAGTTGGAGAAATAAAAATGAAGGCCACAGTTGGATATACTCTGCCAGGAAACCGAGCTGTAGAAGGAGTAGGTTTTATATTGAAAGACAAATTATACAGGAAAGTTGTGGAATGGGAAGCAGTAAGTCCACGTATGATTGTAGCTCATATAAATTTGAGTATTTGGAACTGGGCTTTAATACAAGTTTATGCCCCGACAAATGATGCTAACATCCTACATAAAGAGTTATTTTATAGCAACCTTGAACAATCACCAAAGCTAGGAACTGCAATAGAAGCATAGTGATCATGGGAGACTTCAATGCTAGAACAGGCAAGGATCACCTAAGAGCACATGGAGTGATGGGATCGCATGATGGAGAACACATTAAAAATGAAAGTGGGCGACGACTTATTGATTTCTGCATTGAAAATGATCTACTACTGGGGAATTCATTCTTCCCGCATAAGCTGGTCCATAAAATTACCTTTTCAGCCGCTGAGAGAAATGTCAACAGTGTCATAGACTATTTCATCTACAGCCGCGACATAAGAAGATATTTTTCAGATTAAAAATAATCAGAGGTGCAGAAATAATTGGAACAATTGGAAGTGATCATATGCTCCTGGTTGCTAATACCTGAGTGGTCAAGGAAAGAAAGCACAAGATGAAAGCCTATTCAAGAATTGAAGTAGAGAAGTTGCAGAACCCTCAAAAGAGAGATGAGTATGAAGTAGAATTAAGGAATCGGGTCCAGGAATTAGATGCAAATACAAGCCTTGACAATCTATGAATTCAAATAAAGGATAGCATTCTGCAAGCAGCTTCTGTAGTGTATGGAATGAAAAAGATTTACAGGAAAGGTAAACGTACATCATGGTGGAGCAAAGAACTGAGAGTGCAAGTTTTGCAAAAGAAAATAGTGTGGAAGGGATACTGTCTGGACCAAACTCCAGAGTAATGGCAAGCATACCTGTTGGCGCGAAACAAGATAAAAGAAGCAGTAAGAGTGGCGAAACAGAAATCGTGAAAAAAATTTGGAAGGAAGTTGGATCAGGACCATCGGGAAAACATCAGGATTTTCTGGAAAAAAATTAAAGCTCTAAGAGGACGTAAAAACAAAGCAGGGAGAAACATGAAGAGTGAGTAAGGAAAAGTGGCCACGGAATACAAAGCTATCTTGAAGTTCTGGAGACATCATTACATGAATCAGTTTGGTATTGATGATCACCATTCAACCAACAGAAATAGAAACTGGAACGAGGAACAGTACAAAGAGGTGATTGAGGAAGAGGATGTAGAGAGAGCCATTTACAAAATGAAAATAGGAAATGCGCCAGGACGGGATGGTGTAGTAGCTGAATTAATAAAGAATGGCAGCCCTGAACGGGTGCGAAAATTGTAATTCCTTTTCCAGAAAGCCTGTGATGAAAAAATGATTCCAACTGATTGGAAATATAATATTATAATACCAATTCACAAGAAAGGAAGTCAGGTAGAATGCTCTAATTACAGACCTATATGCCTCTTGCCAATTACGTACAAGCTATATATGTGCATATTGGTGGGTCGCTTAAGACCACTAGTTGAATACCTAATAGGAGAAGAGCAAGCTGGGTTCAGACTCGGGCACCAAAGCCATAGCCACATTTTATCATTAAGAAATATCTTACGGAAATTTTGGGACCTGGATAAAAATATGTACCTGGCTTTCCTTGACCTCAAATCTGCCTTTGAGATTGATTTCACGAGATGAAATATGGGAAGCTCCGAGAAACCTGACAGGCGATTAAATCTATATATCAAGAGCCCAAATGAATAGTCAGACGGAAAGGGCTAGGATCAAATTATTTCGATATTGCAAAGGGGGTCAAACAAGGAGATAGCCTAACCTCTTTGCTGTTCTTGTTGTTCATGGGTGAAGTGGCATCCATTTGTAAGAGAAGAACGGACAGGACATTCCTGGGACGTAGGAATCTTGATCCTGTTGTGATATAGCTTCTTCTCTACGCTGACGATGTAGTATTGATTACAGACTCAGTGGAAAACTTGCAACTGGCAGTAATGGAATGGTATGAAGAGCTCCAATGAAACGGGGTGCTTATAAATACCAACAAAAGTAAGATCCTACAAGATGGAAGAAAGAAGGTAGATATCCTCATATCCTGTAATGGAGAAGAATTAGAAATGGTGACAGACTTCACATAGCTGGGTACAGTGATAGACGGATCTGGGAAGATAGACTCAGAAATATCTAACAGGATTAACAAGGCAGATGCAGTTTACTAATAGATACGTAAAACTGTGATAGGTAAGAGAGAAGTAGGCAAAGATGTCAAGCTACACATCTTCAAGACAGTATATCTACCCATACTTTTTGGGAGACCGAGTTTACAATGAAAGGATTCATCAGAAACTGCAGATAGCCCCACTGAAAGAGCTCCTAGAAACTCGTCAGCTAATGTTATCAGGATGGATGACCACAGAGATCCTTTAAAGACCATGGAATATGTCCTGGATGGCAGAAGACCTAGGATGTCCTATCTCAACTACATGGAGCGACTCTGTAGGGTGAGGGGGAAGGATCTCCGACAAGCGAGGAACCTAGCTAGAAATAATGAAGAATGCAATTCCTGGCCGAATGCTCCACTACACTGAGATGCACTAAAGAGGGAAGCTAAAAAAGAAGAAGAAATCAGAGATAGATCCAGGAATTTTCTGAGGACAGACATTATATATATAAATAAATGTGTATTTTAGTTTTTTGTTCCCTCAAGTATTTTACCTTAAAATGACGGTCGAATTCTAAACAGAAAAATTGTTTGAATAATTTTTCCACAAATTCAATTAAAAATAGTTTCAAAGGGCACTCCAGCGACTACTTTCAACAATAATTAAGATACATAATTGGTAATTGGTTGACTTTCGTGGATAATGAAGAGAAGAATAGTTGGGGTAATCAGTCAAAAAAGGAAGGCAAAAAATAAATTATAATATTTATTTTTTACATATGCCGACGTTTCGATCTGAAGTTCAGGCCTTCATCAGGGCTAAGAAAATAACCAGATAACAAGGTATGAGAAACATAAGTAATGATGGTAAAAAAGATAATAAAAAATGAGAAAATAAAATAGATTAGATCTAGATAAAATAGATCTAAATAAAATATTAGAAAAATAAAATAGATAGATATAAAGTAAAATGAAATTGTTAGAATAATGACTAAGAACTAAGAGATAAATAATACAGACTGTTACATAGTGTGGAATGATGAAGTAGGCATAATCAAAAACCTTCAATAATTAAGATATTTTGGCAATAAATGAAGAATTTTTAGTGTAAATATTTAGGTTTTTTTGAGTCATTCCTTGTTTTTCAGCAAAAAGTATAAATGAAAATTAATTGTTTAATGCAATTCACTTTTCAATTAAAATAATAACCATAAAAGTGCCGGTTGTGTAGTTACTTTTTTCAAGATAAGATTTTTTCTCGCCTCCCAGCAAGCAGGAGAGGTGGCTCCCTCCTCCTGGATCCACGTATGTTTACATTTTCTCATTGCTAATCAAATTTCCATGATACTGATAACAATTTGTAACAAGTTCATTTAGAGGATTATTCTCAGGAAAGTCATTTTAAAATCCTCCTCTCCATCTCTGTTAAGAAAATTGTTAGATGTAGCTCCTTATATGCCCAATAAAGGTGAAGGTGGCCCTCACACATTTTAATATTAATTCAGTTACAATCTTACTTTTTACAAATTTTTTTTCTCTTTTGTTTGTGTGATTAATTTGTTTTTCTTGTTTCCTAAGCTTTTCATGAATATTCTTGAAATTGGTTTGTTATAAAAATATATTGTTATTATCAAAAATAGTTTTCAAGGAGCTAGTATTTTTGAAATTTATATTAACACTAGAAATATCAAGGAAACTGTCCATAGTCTGGCCCTTGTTAAAATTAATTTGTTTGTTTAAAACAAAGGTTAGATTAATTTTTTGTCTTTGGAACATATTTGAAGACAAGACATTAATTTAAGGCTGTTAAAAATTATAAATATAAATTTATTTAAGTGTATGAATATGAACACATATCTTTGAGCAATTAGTTAAATAATAATCACTAGGATATTAGATCTTTATGTAATCTTTGATTTATATATTTTCCTATTTACATTAAAATATTATTAATTATTAAATATATAAATTTATTATGTAACACTTATTGGTCAATTTATTAAACAAAGAATGAAGTTAAAAGAAAAAGAGTTAAAATTATATTTTTTATGCTGGATAATACCAGTAATATACATCTTTCTAAATTTGTTATTAGTTAATATTGACTATTTGCCACAGGCAAATTTTTGTATTATTCCTTTAATTTATTGTGCATTCTATATTTATTATATATATATATATATATATATATATATATATATATATATATATATATATATATATGTATATTCCATTTTACAAATTTGTAAATAATTACATATTTATGCTAGTACATTAATTAATTAATATTATGTTAATATTAATTAAGTTTAAATAGTGATTCTTGTATTGGAAAAGTGAATCATATGACATTTGGAGGTTGTCAATCTTTTCTAAACTGAATGAAAAATGTTCAATGATAGTTTTTGGCAGTTTTAACTTGGAACAATCCCAATATATGGGCATGGTGTTACCTTTTTAAATTTGGTTTCAGGGACAGTAATTTTCCTTTCTTAGGAACTAGTTTGTTCCTTTCTGTTTTTTGTTTAATAATGTTGAGGTGTCATGATAATTGTTATTAAATTCAAATAAAACATTATTTTAAAAATTTTATATAAGTGGAAAGTGTTAAGTGGCCGCTAAATTAATGAAAAAATGTCATTTCTTGATCCAGCGCATGAACAAGTTATTGAGAGCTTTATGAAAGGTTCATTTTCTAAATTATTCAGTTATTTTATTTGGAACTGCTACCTAAATTGTTATTATTATTTATAACTGTAATTCATTTAATGAGATATTTTTTTAATTATGTATTTATAAATTCAAGTTGCAGTAATGAGTTTTTAATAATATTTTGTAATATATATTTTCAAATTTATCAATAATTTCCAATAATCAGTTTTGTAAATCTTTCTATAATATTATTTTATTTAAAGGCTTCATAAAAATATTAAATTTAAATTTTTTTAGAACTTGAAATAAAAATTAATTATGAAATGCTAAAACATATACCTAAAAGATATATGTGATATACATATACTTGCTTAGCTGAACACATGTATTAATTTATTTGCAGAAATTAATATCATGGTTAAGAGCAAAAAATCAATTTAATTAATGTTATTCCAACAGGAGATTGGGAAGCTGTTATTGAAGCCCAAGCCGTATTGAATGAACCTTATTTCTTGTGGCCAAAACCAAACAAAAATGATCTATATTTCATTTCAGATTCAATGAAAAGATTAAATATAGAAAGAATTTTAAGTATAGGATGCGGATGTGGTTTGTTAGAATGGCTTCTGATGGTTGCAAGTGGTATTACTTATAGTTATTTATATCTTTCTCTTTTAACATATTATGAATGTATTAATTTTTGTTAATGTGTTTGTATGTACATCTTAAGCAGTTAATGAAGGCTTAGCAGTGGGAGTAAGGGGAAAATAATAGAGAGGAGTAGTGGGGGCAGCTTTTACTAACAGGATAAAGTGAATTTGTACATATAAACAGATCTGGGAAAAAATTATTTTAAAAACAGTGTTTAAAATAATATGCATTTTGTGTTTTTAAAATAAAGTGTTAATTACCAAGTATTTGAAATATTTACAGAAAAAGTATTTTCATATGTACATTAACGAATAATCAATGGTGGAATGTTGTATATTATTGAGAAAAGAGATGGGCTGGTAGTTCTAAAAAGATTTAAAATCGACACAACTCTGGAGGTCTTCTTCAGGGCTAGAACGAAGTTCTTCATGTCTTTTTATGACTGTCACCATCTCCTTCCTCAAAATACATTAAGTATTTACACATATAAAGTGCCTCGTTGCACTTTAGAACTGATTACAATAAAAATATATAAATCATAATTTTTTTATTTCAATTTTTTTTTTTTTTGGACGGAGCAGTTATGAAAGCAGGGCACAACAGATATATTTTTAAAACAATGAATGACAAAAAAAAAATTATTCTATCAATATTTTTTTTAAGAATAATTTATTTAAAAAGTTATATTTGATTAACAAAGAAATAATTAATTTCAAATAAATTTGTTTGGCAATTAGCTTTTAATAATACCCATTCCTAACTAGTTTTATTTATAAAGATAATTGTATTTAAAATTCACCATCAACCTTAAAAAAATATCAATTTTCATAGATGAGCTCTTTTATGAACGGTCGGCCTTCTTATATAACTTATATAGGCAGCTTCTCAATTTGTTAATATATTTTATGCATTTAAATTACAAAATACATTTTATGCATTTAAATTATAAAATACATTTTTTGTATTTTAGAAATAAAATACAAATACATTTCACTGTATTTTGTATTTTCATCAAATGAAAATACAGTTACAAACAATGTATTTTATATTTTATTTATTAAAAAATTAAATTAAAAAATGTATTTTAAAATATTTTATTTGAAATACTGCCCAAGTCTGTGTATAAGTATATTTTTCTCAAGTAATGTTACTACTTTATTACCAATATAATGAATAATGTTGGTTTATTTCAGTTTATTATTTATTAAACCTTTTTTAATGATTTTATGGTGATTATGATTAAATCTCTTATGATTTATAACATGTATAACAGACAGCAGGATAAAAATAAATGTATATTGTTATGGTTATACTAACCAAGTCTTATAACTAAAAATTATTAGTTTAGCTGTCATTATGTTTATTTCATTTTACATTTAAACAAATGGCAACAATACGGTGTTGTGGTGAAAATGGCAAGAGTGGCCTTATTTTGATTAAATTTTAGAGGAGGATAAGATTATAACGTGCAGGAATGTTTTAACTAGGGCACCTAAAAATCTAGCTGCCTCTGTATAGTAAAATGATTACAAGTCAGAGTTTTAAAAAGTTAATAAATTATGTTTTGAAAAGGATCGAAAGAGTTATTATTCATAATAGGTGATTCTTAATCTAGAAAAAGTTCAAACCTGGGAAATGTAGCATTTTTTAATATTTTATATTTAGTTCATTAAAATAAGTCTAATCTGTCAGATTCTCCAAATATTTCTACATTAAATTTTCTCAGTTTTTTTTTTTAAACATAAATTTTATTGTTTTACTCTTTATATAGGTGTAAAAGTAACTGGGATAGAAATAGATAAAAATTACTGGAAATCAAAATACGCAAGAAAAAGCTTTATTGACTTAGTTTTTCCACAAGAAGAAGCCTTCTCAGAAAACATCTGTAAAGATAACAATGCTTTAATGTTCTGCTATTTCAATGATATGGATGCTTTCCTAGAATATCTCAATATTTATCCAGGCCATTGTTTAATAATCATAGGACCTGAAAATTGTGGAAGGTCAATACACTCATTAATATTTATGTTTGAATTAAACACTAACAGTAATTAGAATACACCAATTCTTTCAGGCATACTGCACCTAGTCCATATGATGAAAACATTCCAAATGAATGGCAGCTTTGGAAAATGAGAGAAATTGCTACCACAGGAGACTATATTTGTATATATACCAAAAGAAAATTAAATATTTTGTAATTTAAATAATTAAATAAGCAGAATAGGTTTTGGAGAGATGTGACAAAATTTTGTGAGATGTAACAAAGTAGTTGATTACCTCTATAGCTATGCTAAATTTTCATATATGCAATTTATAAAGTTGATTATTAAATAATGATTATTGTAAACTCTAATAAATGCATTCTAGATATTATAAGTACACCTAAATGTTGTAGATATACCAAAATGCATACTAAATACTGCATGTGCACCAAAATGCATTCTAGAATATTGCAAAATTAAGTTTTTTGACTATGAAATTAATAGTGACAGAAATATGGGACCTACTACAAATATATATAAACTATTAATTATCAAGAGTAGTTTACTGATATTTCTGTTTCATATTGTAAATAAATTATTTAATGAAATACTGATCAATATATTCTCTAGTTATAAAATCATTCAAAGGAACGGATTTTACTTTCGCACTATTATTAACGGATTATACCTCAACAATCATAGGTAGATAAAGTTAAGTAATAAATAAATTTGAAAATCAGTCATACGTCAATTTGAAAATCATTAGTATGCTTTCGGATTCCCAGAGTCAAAACAAATAATTTAAAAAAAGTGGTTTTGTCATTGTCATATTTATTATGATTCCTCTTAATAATGCATTCTAGAATATTGTAAAATTAAGTTCTTTGACTATGAAATTAATAGTGACAGAAATATGGGATCCTATAACAATTTAGTTTAAAATGGTAAAGATACAGACCATGAAACAAGCATAAGAAGTTGGTTAGGGCCAGATCAGGAAAGAAAAACATTTTATTTGAGGGTCTTTCCAGGTGTAAAATACTAATCTCAACTGTGTTTTTTCTTTAAAGAATAATTTAATCCATTTTACTCCTAAGATCGGTACAAATTTATAATCAATTTCAATTTTTTTTTTGTATTGTATGGAATTTAGTAATCTTTCAAATAATCATGGGTACTATCAGCAAAAAAATGTACATTTTTTTAGTTATTCGCAAATAAGTTTCTTTTTCATCATAACTTTTTATCCTTAAATTTTTGGGGGGAGAGGGAGGGAAGTTTATTCGCAAATAAGTTTCTTTTTCATCATAACTTTTTATCCTTAAATTTTTGGGGGGAGAGGGAGGGAAGTGAGACAATTTTTCCCACCTGCAGATCTTCAAATGAAGCCTCAATCATTAGATTTGATGAAGTTACAGCATGGCAACAAAAAAATCCTTAGAGAAATAATAAATAAAGTAGTTCTAGTGTTGAGCTGGTTGCCATAGTAATCAATTTACTTCAGAATTTTTTCCCTGTTGTTTCCCAAATCACGTAAACATGAGGTCACTACTATTACATTTATTGCACAAGATGTTTCTCTTGAAAACCTAATTTCACAATTATGTCGTTTATAGAATAAGGTTTTATAGCCGTGGCCTGTGATACTTGGTATCAGGACTTTGTGGAGGTCTGAATGTGAAAAGTTTGGAGACCTCTGGCTTATACCATACCTCCGATGAGACACATTGTTATTACAGGATTTTAGCTGAAAATAAACCTCTGTTTTACTATTTAAAAAGTTAAATCTCCATCTTATTTACATTCATGACTTTAATTTTATTACAGCTTAAATATACGAGAATTTTTGCCCACAGAAGTACTCAATTCCAACAAATCCTCCAAAAAATTCAAGAATAAACAGCGCACCTTATTTATATCCTTTAATGAGGACAGGGAAGGAGTGAGGTAAATAATCCGCGGTGCAAGTCACTAAAATGTATCAGCTCCTCGACCTCTACATTCACATCATCCACACTGAATGTGTCAATGTTTTCCAATTTAAATTAAGTAAAAAAGGTTAATAAATGAACTCAATGAAAGTTTAATATTTAGTTCAAATTTATTTATATACAATTTTATAGTTAATATGAGTTATTGTGAAAAATCACTACGTTTAACATAGAAATAAACAAGATTGATCCGAAGGGACAGAGATCATAATATTGAAACATACTGTCAAATATTCATATTAAAACATAGTGCACAACCTAGACCATACTAAGCAAGAGATTCCATTTTTTTTTTTGTTTCAATTTTTAATAAAAAAATAAGTTCAAAATTTGTACTTATAGACATTTGTCAAAATCGTGATGTCTCTTGCCTCATATATCACATTGTCTCAAATGTAAAAATTAAAAAAATAAGAAATAAATTAAACATAGAAAAAAACAGCATTATTCATAAAGCAGAAACTTCATCCTATAAACAGACACTGGGGTGAGTATTAACACATCCGTTAACAGAAAATAAACAAAAATACTTATAATTAAGTTAACAATAATAAAGTATATGATCTTTGATAAGATCAAAAATCACCAGTTCATACTCTTCTAAGATTTAACTTTAAAATATCTGTTTCACTCCGAAAAAGTTGGCACCTTGATTTCCAAATGGTATCCTTATATTGCACTCATAAAAGGCAACCAACTCTCACCGGTTTTTCTTTTTTTTTTTTTCGTTTTATCTTTTTTTTTTCTTATTTAATTCTGTTAAATTTATTAAATTCACATCCTACGCCAATAAAAAAATCTTCTTGTATAAGAAGGTGTATATATGTTTTTATAAAAACACATATACACACATTCTACCTATAATATTGTTTATCTATATCTATATCTTTATCTTAAGCTAAATGAGAAACAATATTATATATTAATATATAGATATATATGTATTTTTTAAAGAAAAAATTTAAATATTACTTAGTATGGCTAAAATTAAATCATAAATTGCTTTGTACTAAATCACAAATTCAATCGAACTTGAAGTTATAACTTATTTACTCATATACAGCAAGTATACATAGTATGTAAAGGCATAAAAATATTGACTCACACTACATATACTGACTGTATTTGATACCATCAAATAAGGAGTGGGAAGTAGGAGAGAAAAGCTAGCTTGAAGCAAATGGCCTTTGATCCTAATACTCGCCCCTCATAAAGATGTAAATCTATATATATATTATTTACATTATTTATTTACAAAACATTATTATACAAATCAAATTTTACATAGATAATAAACAAAATATTCACGACTCCTTTCTTCTATTTAAGTATTTTTGATTGAAAATAAACGCTTAATGTTCTACAAATTTTTGGTTAAAAACATAATTGTTATTGTTAAATGTATATAAAATGCTAGCCACTCATTAAAACCTAAATTAATACATTACATGTATTTTAAAGCCGGCTCTGATAAATTACATAAATTTTAAATTATGTATTTATAATATATGTATGTACATATATAAATATTTATATGTTTTCACTTTACAAAATATATCATGTACAATCTATATCCTGTACAAAACAAATGTACATCATATAAATTTCATGAATAAATTAAAATAACAATTTCAAAAATATTACGATAGCAAAGAAAAGATTTACAATATTGAAGATATTAACATTATCCACTTAAATTATAAGTTCATCTCCACCCACTAATTACACTCGACCTTTACAATATATTTACAAATATTTCCCTTGAAAATAGGAATTTATTTCCTCTTTTTTTCCCTCCCAAGTTTATAGCTCAATTTAAAGTAGTCCAATGCAACTTGGATGGGGGCGGAGGTCGTTGGTAATAGAAGAAGTCATTCGTTGGAGGTGGAGGAGGAGGCAGAGGGCCAGAGGGTGGTAACGGCGGTGGTGGAGGGGGCGGCGGCGGTAGTTTCCTTTTCTTCTTCACTTCAACCAAGGGTGGTGGAATCATTGCTATTGTCTCAGCTCCTACACATCATAAGGTTAAAATTGAATGAAGTTATGAAAATAATTTTTAAAATTTTATATAATAATTTGTTAAATGTTTCAAGATTAAATAAAAATTTGAGATGAACAGGTGAATCAAGAACCGAGTTTAAGAACCAACTCCTTTGAAACTATTGTACTCTCAAGTAATTCACATGAAAGAACCACAAATCACTTGAAGTCTGTCGGTTAATTATCTATTAAGATTCAAAGAAGTGGGATTGTAATTTAGACTTGGTAACATGCTAAAATGTTTCCACTCGACAATTCACTTTCATGATCCCCTCCCCCACTCCCACACAGCTCTTCACCGATTATCTCAGAATTTGTTTTAAATATTAACCTTCCAGATTAGTTTTCATTTTTCTTGATCAGCTACAGATTTAACTTTTCCAGGACCATTAGTCCTTTGAAAAATATTAACATTAATTTGTATAATAGTATATTTTTTAGTCTTAAACTGATCAGTGATCATGCATGTAAACTAACACAAACCAGGAATTTTCTATTCATAACAGTTCGTTTATATTCCTGTAGATGTCAAAAGGCACAGAAAATATGTTCGGAGATTAAAATTGGTTTATTGTCTGATTTTTAAAGACATATAGTACGTTACGTTACCAAGACTGATAGAAAAAAAAATTTGTGAGAATAAGAAACTTTTTAGTCAAAAAGTATACATTTTCATCAATATAATCTTATAATAGTTAATTTCAACAAATTGCCACTAATTCTTATTCTATCACAATCAATGAGAACATCAATGATGCTCAAAACATCCAATATTTTAGCAGGTTCTTTGTAAAGCTCATTCCTTTGGATTTGATCTTGGTGATGTAAATATACTCTTTCCCCACTATAATAACCATTGTTTATGTTGGGACAGAATGTTATATTATATTTCAGAAGAAATTAATTAATAATAATAAGGGATGCGGTGAAAAAATACTATATTATACTATATTATAGTATATTTTATTATGTAATATATTTTAGTACATAATAAAATATACTGTAGTAATTTTTGACCAATAAAAAAAATATATTGAAATTATATCTGTGTACAATTCCACGATTTATGGAAGCAGCCCAACATCATGTAGTATCCCTCTTTAAATTTAAATATTTCTTAGAACATAAACGAAATAGTTTCTCAGTCATTTTTATAACCTAATATCAGACTGTGCACTATTTTCTGTTGATTTTTTTTTCATGTTTTGACCCATAGTTTGAATCAAAGAAGTTACATTAGGAAAAAAAAAACTTATCTCAAACATATTAGAGTAAAGGTACCAGTAGTAGACATCAAGCCAGTAGTAGACACATGGAACTTTAACTTAAAAAAATAAGAGTTGGAACGATCAGAATGATATGTATTTGATGTCATTTTAAATTTTAGCTTATACTGCGAAGCCACTAGAATGTGGTAGCAAACAAAGTGAGCAGTGGAAAGGTTAGAGCAGCTGATATCTTTGCAGTGTCATCCAAGATCCTGCTGTAACCAAATCAGCTAAGGAGGGGAGTTTGATTTTTATCAATTATTCTTTTATTTAATTTCATCAATTATTCCAAGATTTTTTACAATTTTTTTCTCTACATGGTAATGTAGACAATGAACTCACTAGGTAACTTGTTTTTTTATCTGTTAGTTTTGTTTGATTGAGCACAAAATAAACTGTCTACTACTGGGATACTGATAATACCTCTTGTTCCAGTAGTAGACAGAAGTGTCTACTACTAGAAAACTCAACTTTTTTATAGTAATGATTGAATATCATTCATAGCCAAGCATGGGAGTATTCGAATTTTTCTCAGGAAATGTCTTGTTCCTTTTTACCGATAAATATAATTTAATTAAAAAAATAAATTTTTTGTTTTTGGCATTTTTGAAGTTTGTATTTTTTAAAAATCATAGCACCTTGTTAAAAACTGCCAATATAGGTGCATATTTGATTAGAAATATATTAAGTGGTGTCAATTACTACTGGTGTGTTTTCTTGTCTACTACTGGTACACTGATGTGTCTACTATTGGTGAAAAAAGATGTTCTCGAAAATTATATAAAAAAACAACCTAAATATCAATGTTTAAGTTATCTTAGAATGAATTTAGGTCACATAAGAGTGTTGGACAAATATAGCAAAAAAAAAAAAGGAAGCTTGAAAAGAATCTAACAAGTTACATTTAAAATTATTGGAAATTTCACAATAGTGTCTACAACTGGTGACTTCACCCTACTACAATTTTAGTCAATTAGGATTAGGTGAAATTATTGCAAAATGGCTAAAATTTCTTGGAAATATTAAAACGAACACTTCCCATCCTATTAAATTTTAGCATAAAAAGGTTAGGACAAATAATTTCTAAATGGATAAAATCAAAATAAATCAAATAAGATTTTTTTTTTTAATAACTGAAACGCTACTGTACCGTTATACTCTCTCCTTCTCATATTTAAACATTTTCAGTATGTCTTGTATGAAATATAAAGAACATCAGTCAACCACTTGCTTGAAATCTGGTGCACGCACACATAACTTTCACTTACTGCTCTACTTTGAATAGAAATTATTTTTTGGCAAAGTTGGGCTGTTGTAAAATTTTTAAAGTGCATTTTTAACGGAGCTACAGATTAAAGTTTACAGCTAACAAATCATTAAGACCATTATAATAACAAAACTCCTATTAATTATATCAACGATAGGCCATAAAAACCTCGTTACTCAATCTGTTTTTGTAAATCACATAACTTAAGTTTCTGACATAGGTATGTGCCCGGAGAGATTTGAAAGTGTATCTGTATATTAAACCTATAAATGATGATGGATTGTGTGTCTATTAGTTATTTAATGTTAATTTCTATGTTAAGTTTACTAAAATGAAATTATGAGATTTTAATTGCCTTCCATAGATAGGTAAAAAGTTGTCACTAATGTAAAGTAAATGTTGGGATTTCACAAAGAGAATATTCATCAAATTATTTACTAATTTAATTTTCTAAAAGGTTACATAACGATTTTTCGGAATAAATGGATGTTGATAATTAATTATTTGAATATAATATCAGATCTAAAATTATGAAACTACAGAGTAAATGTTTTTATATTCCACTTCTAGTTTTACACAAGTACTATCAAATAGTTTTTTAAACAATGTCGTTGCCTTGATTAGGTAGATTTTAAATACTTTTTTAAAAGTTTACATTTAGTTAGTAAATTTCATCGCTGTCCAACACATTACATATCTTTTGATTATTATTTGCAAAGATTCATCTTCTAGTTAAATAAGTATTTTTCCTGTTTTCTTGTTTATTCAATAATCAAATTCTTTCAAAACTTATATTTAGCCTTTTTCCATGGGAAATAGTTAATTATTTAAAGTAAACGAAATTAAAGATACTTTATGGAAAGACATGTTGAACATTGGACGTTTAAGCCCTGTAAAGTGACAGCAAAGGGAACAAGATCTAAATTATATTAAAAAACACTTAGTTATACATTTATACAGAGAGTTTAATCAAAATCGTTAGAGCCATTTTTGAGAAAATCTTTAAATGCGTTTAATGGATTCTTTACAGTGCCACTTCCGGGACAATTCATTTTGACAAGAATGTTGCTGTAATATCTCAAGCATATAAAAACCTAAAATTTGCAATTTCACTTTCGTACGACTTTTCGTTTTTGAGCTGACTCCGTTGGACTGATAACATACACACAGACAATTTTGCGGGACTTGGTTATTTAGACTCAGGGGACCTCAAAATGTGTATTTACGTTGATAACTCAGATTCGTAAATTTTCACGATCGCAATACTTACCCTTACTATGTATTACGTAGGTAGGTAAGCAAAAGTAAAAATATATATATATTTGATCTGAACAACAATTTTAATAAAAAAAAAAAAAGATGGTAAAGGATTGGAATCAACAATGAAAATGAGAAACATACACCTAAGAGGAGTAATTAATCCATACCTGAATGAAAGTGGAAAGAATCAGAATGTGAGGAATAGATTGGCAACACTGCTTCAATGCAAACTTACATTAATAAATAATCTATCTCAAACCAAACAATACTGTTGAAACAGAACTTACTGATGTAGATAAGCAATGAATTTCTATCACAAAATCCTGGATGAGACAAGAATGGAATAAACCAATTAATTATATAATAAAACATCAAGTACCACTTAAGCTCTAAAGAAATGAAAACACAAGGCTTCATCAACAATCAGAATAGAAGTTAAGAATCATCAACTAAAACAATTGTGTTTACAAATAATAAAACGATCTTGAGGCAGATAAAGATTTTTAGTTGTTAAACAACAATTATTTATTAAAGATAACCTGGCACTAAATAATTTCAAAGACATAAAATAATTAGGCACATCTATGAATACCTCAGATAAGTAAAATTAACATGAAAGATAATTATTCAGTAAAGTTATTATTTACAATCCGTACGGAAGTTTACATGTAAACCTCAGAAACGTTTCCTGTTGAATAAATGGTGAAGTACATGGTACAGTATGAGGTCTGATCTATTATATATACAATAGGGGATGGCTAATTATTCTTTGAAAAGTAAATTAACAAAGAAGAGAGGAAACCAAGAAACAATTATTGTACCTGGAATTCCCTTTTTATTTTTATCTTCTTCATCATCACTAATAAGGAGACCGAACTCCCGCCTTAATCTCTCGGTCAATGCTTCTCTTTGCTGTTCCACAAGGGTAGGGGCCGCACTGAACCCGGCACCACCAACTATAGGCCCTACAAAAATTTACAAACAATTAATAAAATAATTAACAAAACGGATAACACTAATTGACAAATCCACTTTTCAATAGGAAAAAAGACAGGTCACAATGTGATAGGATTAGGTTTCTTTACATTTGAGACCCATAGGAAAATATTTATATAATTTTCTGGACATGGTTTTAGTCAATAAGTCTGAAACAAAACCAAATCCCTCGATTTGGAACAAAAATTAATTTCAATTTGTTAAGTAAAACAGATAAAAAAATATTCGACTGTAATACAAATCAATATACCACGGGAAAAAAAATTGAATTAAAAAATAAATTAACCAGAATCAGTTTTGAAAAGATTCATCAAAGACGGAAAATATTAAAAATTAACGGTTGAAGACAAAAGATTGGGTCCAGGACAGCACATTTAGAAGAGAAGTTATATGAAGAACAAAATAAAGAAGCCAAAAATTGAAAGGAGAATATGATTCGCAACATACAATGAAGTAAAATCATAGGAAAGAAATCAGGAGAAGCTCACTGGGAAAACGAAAATATATAAATTAATCTTAGAAATTCACAGTTCCGAAAATTGGTTAAAAGGTCGATCCTTTTAAATACAGTTTTGAATTTAAAAAATTGCATAAATTAGACAAATTAAGATAAATAAATAAAATCTAAAGTTATTAATTGATAGTTTAAGATAGCTAATTTACCTTTTTTAAATGTGGAGTCAATAGGTGGGGCAGGAACATTAAACAGAATAGAGTTTGTGAGGAAGTCCTCAGAGTCAGCATCGATATCTTCTACTGATGTTGTTATTTGTATAGTGGACTGGGTCTCTTGTGAAGGCTGATTTACTTCAATAATTGACTTGGCTGGTGGATTGGATTTCACCCGTTCACGATATTCAGAGATGGATAACTGGAAAATAACGCACAATTAAACTAAATTTGATAATTACACTTGTCAGAGTTATTAGGTTATGCATTGGAACAGAAAAGTACTTTTTGTAATTAACCTATATTTTCATGTAGAATAACAAATGTTAACATACCATGCAAATTCAAGTGCCACCATTTGATGATAACCGATATTGATTGATAAACAATAAAATATGTCTAATAATATTTATAAGTTCACATTATTGTGGTATGCTTATTTGTAGTCTATAATGTGTTAATTAATTCAAACTCGATTCTTTTAATTAAATGTATTGGTTTAATAACTGGATAACATATTGTTCAGAGTTTTGACAAGTGAAATATATTTTAATTGCAAATATACATACTTAAAAATGTGGCACGACATCCCGTTACAGAGACTGGGCCTCCTCCAAGAGCCTCTACCAGTTGACTCTTCTGTTGCAGCTCTCCAGTTCCGTACGCCAAGCAGGGTTCTCGCATCATAGGCCACGTTGTCCAACCATCTTGTCCTCGGCCTTCCTACCCGTCTTGTGAGGTGCAGCTCCTCCATCATTATTTTCTTGGGTATTTCAACGGTGCTCAATCTGGCCACATGCCCTGCCCACCTTAATCTGGCAAGTTTCATATATGTGACTACGTCGATGTCTGTATAAAGAGAACTGAGCTCCCTATTTTTTCTTTTTCTCCAGACATCACCGTCCTTTACTGGACCATAAATCCTTCTGAGGACTCCTCGCTCGAACACACTCAGCTTTATTTCATCACTTTTCGTCAACGTCCAAGCCTCTGAGCCATATGTCAAAACAGGCCTTACAAGGGTCTTATATAGAATCAGCTTGGTCTTCTTTGAGATACCTACTTCTTAAGTGTCGGCCAAGTCCAAAGACACATCTATTGGCAGCCGTGATCCTTCTCTGTATTTCTTGAGCCATGTCATTTTTGCTATTTATTTCAGACCCAAGGTATATAAAACTTTTTACTCTCTCAAACTTAAAAGAGCCTACCTCAAATGGAGAGTTCAGATCCACCTCACCACAAACTCTCATATACTTAGTTTTCCTCTCATTGACTTCTAGACCAAGTCGTCTTGCAGCTGCTTCAAGGGCTATAAATGCTTCTCTGAGAGCCCGTTCAGACCTTCTTATTATATCATCAATATCGTCAGCAAAACCAAGAAGCTGTGTTAGGCGATTGAAGATTATATCGCTGGTCTGAATAACGGAATCTCTTACAGCTTTCTCCTCTGCCAAGTTGAATAATAGACAGGCGAGGGCATCCCCTTGTCGAACCCCACTGCTCACTTTAAACTCTTCGAAGTCATCAGAACCGACGCGTATTCCACATTTCGAGCTGTCCATGGTCATCTTGATAAAGCGTATAAGCTTCTGAGGGATACTTAGCTCCTCCAAGGCACAGTATAGTTGTGTTCTATCAACACTGTCATATGCTGCTTTAAAGTCCAGGAATAAATGGTGGGTGACTACCTTACGCTCCACAGTCTTTTCTAGGATCATCCTGAGAGAGGACAGCTGATCATTGGTTGAGCCTCCTCGTCGAAATCCAGCCTGATATTTTCCCAGTTCCTTTTCAGAATACGGGAGGATCCTTTCAAAAAGAATGTTAGAGAGCAGCTTGTAAGCACACGAAAGGAGTGAGATTCCTCTATAGTTAGTGCATTCTGTTTGATCTCCCTTCTTATGAATTGGGCAGATAATGGCTGTAGCCCATTCCGTAGGCATAGCTTCCCTCTCCCAGATGGTCAGCATTAAATCATGCAGAGCTTTCTTGAGTTCTTCACCTCCACATTTCAACAGCTCTGACTGGATTCCGTCCGGGTCTGGCACTTTTCCAGTTTTCAATTTCCTCAGGGCGTTTTCCATTTCATCCTCATCCGGGGGTTCAATAGAATTCAGGGAGTCTTCCTTCATTACCACTACTTCTCCAGGCACCACCGTTCCTCTGTTTAATATGTCTTTGAAGTGTTGCACTCATCTCTTTAGTACATCATCTTTGTGGCTTATCAGAGTTCCGTTCGTGTCTTTGCATGCTATCACTCTGGACCTGAAAGCTGCCCTACCCTCATTTATTCTCTGAAAGAACAGCCGACTTACATTTTGGCCGTGCAATGCCTCTGTGTCCTCCATGTTCTTATTTTCCCAAGCTCTTCTCTTTCCGCAGAATAATCTCTTCTCTTCGCGTATTTTTCTTCGATATGTTTCTTGGAAGAGCCGTGTGGGACGCTGAACCTTCTTTCTGTAGGATTCATTTTTCACTTTTACTGCTTGAAGGCACTCAGCATCAAACCATGGGGGCCTTCTAGATTTAGTCTCGTAGCCAAGAGCTTCTTCTGCTGCCTGTTTGATTGCGTTGCTGCATCTCTTCCAACGTTCATCGACCATAGAGCTGTTATTAATTACTTCTTCGTTAAGTTTCGTCACCACAGCTTGGTGATACGAATATTGGTGGTCTGAGCCCTTAAGTTTAGCTACATCAATCTTCTTCTTTGGTCGTTGGTGGTGGTTTTTAACCAGCGAAATTCGTGATCTCACCTCGGCAATGCTCAAATAGTGATCCGTGTCCATATTTGCACCTCTATAAGATCTTGCATTTATCATGTTGGACTTGTGACAAGCACTAATGAGTACATGATCTATCTGCGATGTTGTTTGCCCATCGGGGAGACCCATGTTGCTTTGTGAATAAACTTTTGAGGAAAAAGAGTTTTTCCAACACCAGTCCATGCAATGTAGCAAAGTTCATCATTTTTAGGGCAGCTTTCTGCCACGGGTCCAAGTTCTTCATAGAATGTTTCCTTATCCTCCTCAGGCGACATGCCTCTGTTGGGCAGTTAATTAGAGAGAAATTAAAAAATTTTCTTCTAATCCGAATGTAGCATAACCTTTCGTTAATGGGAGTAAATCGCATCACTAGCTGTCAAGCTCTGCCTCTCACAACAAATCCGGTACCGAAGATGTGATGCTTTTCATGGCAGCTATAGTAGGGTGTATGGTACTTCTTCTCCATAATTCCCTGTCCTATCCATCGGACCCCTTGGATAGCTGCTATGTCGATTCTGTATGTGTCCACTTCTGCAAGGAGCGCACGAAGTGCTCCGAGTCTATGCAATGATAAAATGTTCCAAAATCCAATTCTTAAGTCATTTAGGCGTTTCCTGGGTCTGTTACCGTAATTCAGTCCAGCTTCTTCTCTTTGAGGTTTCGTAATAAGGTACTTTAGGGAGGGTGGGTTATCAGCCCACTGCCCCCGAGTCAGGTAGAGGGGCTGCCTCCTCCGAGCCTCCTGACTAGCTCCTCCCTCAATCCGGGGCGGCTACCTAGGGAAGGTGACCCTAGGGTGTGTACTGTAGGTGACCTTTGTAGTGTTTAGGTGTTGTAATGTGCTGTATAAAGTGTACTTGGTGTGTGAGTGTTCCCCCAACCTGAAGGGCCAGTGGTTAGTTGCAGTACAATGACCGGGCAATGGGACCGCCATCTCCCTACGCCAAAATTGCAAATACAGCGTGGGGTTGACTAATACTGAGAACTAATCTATAAAAAAAAAAACAGATTAGCCTCTTGTCATTGCAAACACCACCATTGATTACGTGTCGCAAGTGATAAGTAAACAAAAATAGTTTCATGATGTCTGATGGCTTCCAAAATTTTTTTTGTTAAGTAAAAGTTCAATGGATTTTACCATTAAAAAAATCTAAAGAATGTGGTAAAAAACAAACCATCAGAATTGAAAACCGACAGATCATTTTTTTTTTTTTTTTTCTCAATAATAAAAACTTCAAATTAATATATTCTCCAAATTTACAACAGATAGATAACGTCACTAGAATCAGTTAATGAAAATACTGAAAAGAAAGCATTACAACTATCTCTATAAATATTTTATTCAAAGTTAATAATTATTTATTTCTTATTAAAATTATAAACTGGAAAAAAAAATACCAACCTTTCTTTTGACTCTATTAGCTTCTTCTTTCATTTTAAAGCTGTTCTTTTCTTTGTCATCTTCGCTACTTTCCGGGGAAGGAGGTTTGTTAGGTGGTTGTAATGGTGAAGGTAATGTGTCAGAAATAGATGATGGTGGTGTTTTCGGGCCTCCTAGAGGCTAAAGGAGCAAATTCATATTATTTTTTAAAAATCGATGTGTATAATAAAAGTACATGTGGCAAAAGATTAAGATGTATGTACATCATTAGATGAGTACTGAAAATTATTTATTTAAGTTAGAAATATTACTATCAAAATTGTTACTTTCAAAAAGTACCTGTTGTTCAAAATCATTTAGAGTGTCACGCTGAGGGGTCACTCCACCACTGGATTCATGTGGTTCCATGGAGTTGTCATCATATTCATAGATCTGTAACAAAAATATAAAATTGTTACTTCATAAGTAGAATTAAGAAACAACAAATTTAAGAGCAACATGTGAAGAATTCATTCATCAACTACAAAAATAAATTTGACACTTCTTACAGTTGACACTTTTACTTCAACTTCAAACCATGTATAAAAATAAAATAAAAACATTTATAGTCATTAATTAAAATTTTAAACTTTCTTAGAAAGAAGAGAAACATGAAAATATATAATTTATAACCTTGAAGTATTATAGCAGAGAAATTCATAAAGACGGAAAGATGAAAAATATATTAATGAAGCCACGTTGAACATCGAACTCATTGTTTTCGGTTGAAGAGCTATTCATTAGTGAATAGAACTGACATCACAATGATCGTGACAACAATGAAGATAGTAATTACAACCATCCTCGATCAAAGGACTCCTCAATGAAGGTAATAGTATTAATATTGGGGTACAGTATGTCTAAGCAGTATACTAGAAAACTATACTTCCTAATCAAGAAATAAATCCAAGGCCCTTCATGAGTTTAAGGGGCCCAGAGTATTAAGGATATTGAAGGTTGTTAATTTACACATTGCTCATACATAATTTTTTGTTTATAGATTCATAAAATTGGAATTCCTATTATAAATAAAATTACAATGAATTTTCAACTATCTTCTCTCCAAAGTTGAACGAAAATGGAAAAAGAAAAACACAATTTAAGCCAGGTTTGAAAAACAAACTCTAACATCTACAACATTAATGAATAGAACATACATTAAAATGATCTTCACAGCAATGCAGCTACAAACTGAATGGCAGTGTAATTTTTGTTCATTTCTTCTATTTCTCCTTCATTCATGTATTTCCTTCTGCAGGATTTAAAGCAACAGATTTAATTTTTTCCTCCTTGTTATCGAATTTTGGAACATATGGAGGTCAAAACCACTCATATCATTTTTCATATGTTCTTTTCTAACTTATTCTATGCAAACAAATCCTTCCCCCCTCTTCTCTCCATTGTAACCAATGCCAACAAACAGAATATAAAAGCTAAAATACTATAATAATACTACAAAAAAATAAATAACCCTACAATATAGTTCAAGAAGAAAGTTTGAAATTGAAATTTTATATCGCTTTTTAATTTTTTAATGTTAATTAGGAAAAAATATTTCAAAACACTTCCAATTTTAAGAATATTATTTTATCTATACATATTACATGTTTTGTTTAATATAGGATTATATTAATAATATAAGAGATAATTAGATTAATAGGAAAATATATTTAATTAGATTAAAACTTAATTGCTAATTAAAATAGTAATAAATATAAAACTTAAGGCATCTTCTAATTTTCGAATGTTCATTAATGATTATACACTTGAAGTTTGACCACACCAAACTTTCAACAGTAGTAAGTGAATTTCTTAAGTAGTCATCAGTTTTTAATTTGATTGTATTCCCTTCCAGATTTTGTTGTATATTTACTGAATATTTATGAAGAAATAAAAAAATTGTAAATTGTATCATGAATTGTACAGCAGCCAATAAAAAACATCATGATCAATTAATTACGTTGGAGAGCAGGCATTCGAGGATTATTAATGCTATACCCATTGAGATTTCATGAGATACAACAGAGTGGAAGCTAATTTTCTCAACTTAAGAGAGGTTCCATTATTTAGAATGATTTGTAAAAATACCTGAATTTGAGAATCTACAGCCTGAGGTGTAGCAGGAGGCGTATAGGACATTTCAGAAGACATACTTTCCCTGGCAAACCGCCTCTTTTTAAGAGGAGCAGCCAAATCGGTAGGTGACGATACCCCTGTTTCTGAAATAGATAAAATACACCCAAATTCAAACTAGGAATGTAATAGGAACAATTCAAATTTTACTGATTTAATTAGAAATTCCGATTTAAAAAATTAGTGAATGGCAGTGATTTTTTTTTTATCCTGTCAGAAAGTAGAAAATGGGAAAGATAATGAAACACCTCTTAAGATTGATAACAGCGAGGGACGGGGGGGGGGGGAGGGGGAGGGAGAGAGGGAGTACATTTCATGATAGATTTGTCAAGCTTGCTATATATGTATAATAAAACATACATTTTAATATTCTTTCTAATGGGGCCCAGAGAGAAAAAAAAAAAGAGCTATAACTAGTTAGCTACTATAACAAGGAAATTAAAAGAGCTGTAATGAATTTTATTTAAATTTCTTCTCCAATTAATGGCAAAGCCTTAACTTATTTTGGTGATTTATTATTGGACCTCCACTCATATTTCATTTACATATTATGATATATGAGGTTTCATCCTTGCCTTGAAAATACAATCTCTTAAAAAATCTCAAGAGGATAATAATAAATAATAAGAAATTACATTCATTAAAGGGTTTATAAATGACAAATTATAAACCATATTAAGACTGCAAATCCTCATTATTTACTACCCTCATATTTGTAACAGTCAACTATAAATATATCACTTAACAAATTTTCTTACTTTAGTATTGCTGCTAATATTTTAACTCCTATTTTTCGTGTCTGGCACAATATCGTCAATTTAAATAAAAACAACATGTTAAAATTTAAATTGCTATTGAAGTAGATATAATCTTTCTCTTCCTTGAAAGTATAATTAGTATAATCACTAATAATTGATGACAAATTTTTCCAGAAGACAAAGATATTTTTTTATAATTAATTAATGTACTAATAAAAAAAAAAAAACATCAAAAATCTCCACTTTTGATTTCAAGTAATTATCTCTTTTTTTTTTAGGCAACATAAAGTATATTTATTTCAAGTTGAACCATAGAAGAACAACAAAACTATGCGTGAAACATTTGTTTTCACTGATTCACTTACATTCTCTTCTTCTTCTTTATTTTCTAAGTTTTTTTTTTTTATACTTGACTCTTTATGAGGTAAAAATCTCTAAGAATTATATTATAGTAAAATCAGGAAACTTTTCAGAATGTTTGAGCTGTATGCCTGGATGAACCAAACAAATTCATGTTTCAGGATGACTTTTTTTTTAATTTAATATAAAATGTTTTATTCAATATGAAAGTAAATGCCAATGAAAAATACCGGAAATTTGACCCGATCGCAATACTTTCCTTACCTAGTATAGGTAGGAACATAAAAACAGTGGACCCACCTCATAAAACAAAGAAGTTTTAAGTTCATGGATAGAATTAAACTGTTTTCCAACCGGTATTGTATTTAAAACTTCAAGTCAACCTACCTCATATTAACAAAATGTTATTAATGTAAAAAATATTTAAGAGAAACTTCATTCAGGGCCTAACAATCAGGAAACTGAGTCATTACAGAGAATAACTGAAAAGAAATTTAACACGATAATTTATTATATTAGAAAGTATTAGATATTTTTTTGAAATTACTCACTGAACTAAACAGTATATACATTTTTTTTAAACAGTTTCACTTTAAATAAATAACTTACTCATTAACCCAATAGTTCCAAAAAAATAAATAAAAACTGACCATGCTTAGGAGAATCAGAATCCTCAGATATAGCCTGCCGCAGCCATCTCTTCTTAGCACAGTCTAATAAAGGAGCCAATCCGGGGCGTTGCGTTACCTCTTCATTATTCAGTTCATTAGATCCAAACCACGAATTAAGTAGATTCTAAAACAAAAAAAAATCAATTTTAAAATAGGAGATGAGTGGGAGAGAAAATCTCATACAGTTAGTTAAAAGTATTGCATATAGAGGAATATTAAAACAAAAAAACATACACTGACAGACAAAAAATTCCACCCACTTGATTTTTTCATGTTTTCATCTAAAAATATTTCTGCTTTGGATTGGTCTATTGTTTTTTAATGAATAAATAGGTAATCTTTTTGTTTGTTTTCAATTAGGAATGTTAATATAGAGAACAATAACCCTTAATTCAATGAAATGATTCTAGATTCCAATGTTTACTTTCTATGGAATCAAAATGTTTATTCAGTATCATTAGTTCAGTGCCGTTTCTTGCAGCACATTTCTTAGTCTCCGGCTTTTAATTTTTTTAATATTAAGTTTAAAAATGCCTCTTAGTGCTGAGGATGTTGCGCGTGGTGTGGCACTTATTGATGATGGACATTCCATTAGATATGCAGCTAATGCCATCGGAGTTCCATATGAAACTTTACGAGACGCCGTCAGGCGTTTTCGGGAAACTGGTTCTTACAATAGAAGGCCCGGTTCTGGACAGCCTAGGGTAACAGAACCACTGGATGACCGGTTTTTGACTTTGAGAATTTTACGAAACCGGCACCTTACCGTTGTTCAAGCGATTCATCAGCTCGAAGAAGTTCGAGGTGTGCAAATTTCTGAGTGTGTTGCTCGGAGAAGATTAAATGAGTATGGATTAATGGCTTTTCATCCAGTAAGAGGACCAGAGTTGACCAGAACTCACAGAGTAGCACGACTGGCTTTTGCTCGAGAACATAGCCATTGGACTATGGACGAATGGAGTGCTGTACTTTTTACTGATGAGTCAAGATTCGCTCTTCGATCTCCAGACGGGCATGAAAGGGTGTGGAGAAGAAGAAACGAAAGATATGCAGCCTGTAATTTTTCCCAGAGCCAAAATCTTTCCAACATGGTTCCTTAATGGTGAGGGCTAGGATTTCAATGGAGCGCCGCACAGAATTGGTTGTTGTTTATGGAGGGTCTTTGACGGCCATTCGCTATGTAGATGAGATTTTGGAACCTCATGTGTTGCCTATCCTCAACAAAATCAGCAATCGTTCTATTCTAATGCACGCCCACATAGTACAGACGTTCCTTCAACAGAACAATATTGAGGTTTTAGCCTGGCCAGCACGTTCTCCAGATTTGAACCCCATTGAGCATTTATGGGATAATCTCAGAAGACGAATAAGAGCGCGTGCAACACTTCCTGATTCACTGCAGGATCTTGAAAGGGCTCTTCGGGAGGAATGGGCTATCCTCCAGCAAAGGGGCATTTCCCGATTGGTGGAAAGTATGCCGTGGTGTCTTCAAAAAGTAGTGAAGGCAAGAGGAGGAAACACACGCTACTAAACGAAGAAATGATGTATTTAATTTCTTTTAGAATAATAATAGTTCGTTTTTCAATTTTTTTTTTTCTCTAATCTTTCTTACCCAATCACATTTTGATTATTAGAGGTAAAAGATTATAAAATTCCATAAATATTAAGTATTATCTACAAATACCATGTATTATATACAAATACAAATATTTTAAGATGAAAACATGAAAAAATCAAGTGGGTAGAATTTTTTGTGTCAGTGTATATAAATCTTAGTAAAAGAACTCAAACAAGTTAAAAAAAAATATTCTAATGAAGATTCACTGTAGCATTCTCAGTTTCTAGTCGTTACTCATAAACAATGCAGTAAAATGATGGTATTAAAAATTCAAACTTAAGGCAAGAACTTAATTTATAGTTTTTAATTTTTTTTTTGTTATTATTTAATTACCTTCTTTGTCTTGGGAAACTTAAATCCTGGAGCTAAAGGACCAACAGCCGCAGCAACTAACAAGCAAGCGTTAGATACTGCAGGTGGAGGTGTTGATTCAGATTCACTTGAGTTGACAGGTTCATGCACAACTGCATTATCATCCTAAGAACAGAGCATAACAAAACGAAAAGGTATATAAACATTTATACTTTACTCCAAAGAAAGTTATCATAGCAGTGAGGCGCTAATATTGATCAACAGAAAGATGCAGGTCTGTTGATAATACCTTAATCGGAGTAGCAGCTTCATATACAGGATTGTCAGGAATTGGAGGGGTACGAGGAGAACTAGGAGCTGATCCGCCGACTGAAGCACTTTCACTTTCATCTGTGTCAGTTTCCTCAGATTGTGCTCTTCTTCTTGTTGTCCTTCTAACTGGCTGAGATCCAGAACCATGGGTTTTAGACACAGTATTCCTTCTTGGTCTCAGTGTTTTAGAAGACCTTGTTTCTCTGAATCTGATATTTCAAAAGTCAGTTAATAAAATATTAAGCATAAACAAATTCAATTCAATTTTGTATTAATCTATTTTTGAAATTTTTATCTTAGAATAAATCAAAATATATATATATAAGTTTACTTTTTCCGCATCTGCGGTTTCTCATGTTTTTCTCTGACAGGTGAAAGAGAACTTGAAGACTTTCTGACTCTTCCTGATCCAGTACCAGAAGTCAACTGTTTCCTCTGTTCATCTTTTTCTAATCTTTCAAATGCTTTCATAATAGCCTCCATTTTCCTTTCTTCTCTTGTCTAAAAAGTAATACAACAAATTATTATAGGTGTTAGATTCAGTATGGCCAACGATCACAAATAAATAATTAGTTTACTACATCTATAAAAAAAAAAAAAAAATTAAAATCAACCAACAAAAGATTAATGTACTGAGTACAGTTTATTATTATTCTTTTTTTTTTTTTTTAATAGAGCAAATTCATTAATAGTTTTGTAAACAGCCTATAAAAATGAAAATTTGGAATTAATGACTGAGTAGCAATAATAAAAAGAAAATACATAAGAAGAATAAAAACTCACTAAACATAATAAAATAACATATATTTAAAAATGAATTACCAATTTGCCATCATGTTTTTTCGGAGGACTGATTGCAGGATTTCTTTTCCTTTCTTCACTTTTGGCAGCAGGTGTTGTGGCACGCCTTGAACTTACTTGGCCTCTAGTGGCTTTGGTATTAGACGATTCTCTTGTTAAAGGAGGTGATGGTGCACTAACAATAGTTTTCGATGCCTGAAAGATAGCCAAATATATTTTTAAAAAGTATGTTTAGAAAAAATTAAAAAGATGATCGAGTGAGTACCTTAGGTTGAATCACAGTTGGTTCTGGGGACAACGGCGCAGGAGCTGGCCTTTTGGATGCTCCCACAGGTTCTTTAGTAATATTGTTATTATTATTATTATTGTTATTTAGGCTTAATGAAGATGACTTCGTAGAAGTAGAACTTTCTGAAAGGGTTCGTCGCCTGCCTCGTCGTCTTTTATCATTCCTGCAAAAGATTTTCCAAGATTAAGAAAACAGGAAATTTAGATTATTTGAATTAAAGGATAATTTATAACGATTCTTAAAGTACAATAAACAGATGACCGACTGATTGTACACCATTCATACACAAATGTAAAACATTTTGTTGACATTAACTAAATAACAATTGGTTTCATCAAATTGCTTACATGGATTGGGAAGAGAGACTGCATTTATCCCCAGAAGCACAATTTGTGCTGCCAGGTCGATGAGGAAGAGTTATTTCTGTTTTAGCCTCAATAGAAACAGTACTCACGATGTATAAATGGAGGGTGCCTTTTTCTATACAATGGCGTATCTGAAAAACAAAATATAATATCAAATATTTTTTTATCACAAACCTAATAAATGTTTATTCAAGTAATCCTGAAATTTAAGCAACAGTTAACCTTTACTGTTTAGCTTTAAAACTTAAGCTAGAATTTTTCCTTCCAGTAATAAATAGACATGATTTATAATATTCTAATATAATATAAGAAAGACTGCTAATTGAGTTAAACTTCGATCTGTAGTAATTGACAAAAATGATTTATCTTTATGTAATTAAAATGTATACAAGCATACTAATCACCTTCAGCCTCACAATTTAGAATGGATTTTTTTAAAAAAAATAAAATAATTTTTCCAATCAAAAATAATAAACGTTCCTTGCTCCTTAAAAAAAAAATATGTAAATAAGTAGATAACATGTATTATATATTAACATGTAAAATAAGGCAATTATAATATCCTATTTAACATAATAGACCCAAATATTTGTACAAATTATTTCTCTTGGTCCTATTCTTAAATGCTGACTGAAAATAGTCCGGGAGCCCGTGGCATATAAGATGTCATATTTCATACTAGGCTTAGTACTTATAAATTGTTCATATCCACAGGCCTGATGAGCAAAATACACGTCTGCCAGCATATAGCCGCTGGAATACAAAATGGCGGCAATGTGAAGATAGATAGAGACCCTACATAGGTTGTAAGCACAGGCGGATCTACAAGGGCTCTGGAGCTGAAGACCCCCATCCCCAAAAATGGTAAAATACAAACATATTTTATGAAAAAAAAAAATGAAACAAAGAATACTTCTAGTCAATGGTTGTTATTAGTTGTGGAGCCATAATAAAATTAAAATAATGAATAATGATGATTATGATATAGGTATTTATATCTCTATTCTTAAAGAGTCTTTATAAAATACAGAATTTAAAATGTCTATACTACAGATTAATGGTAATAATCTAATATCCTAATAGAGATAAATAATCACTCACATTCTCCATAAAATTTGAAATGACATAGAAGAACAATTACCTCAGCATTAGGACTGCAAGAAGATCTGATGAACCTTGCATCATTTCCATACGTCGTAGCATCCACTTGGACTTCAGTAACTTCAGAACCAGGACCATTTAAACGATGATGAAAAATAAACTGTTTTCCATTTCCTTGCGTTACAGTCGCCTTTGCAAGCATATATTTCCCACGAACTTCAATAATTGCTTGATTTGATGGAATGAAGGCAGTGGTCACAAGTATCTGTAATTAAGAAATTAATTAATATAATAATATTGTTGAAATATATAACTGCGAATAAAGCTATAAATTTTCCCTAGACATCTAGGAACATCACTAAAATAAAAAATGTTGAAATTGGAATTATGTTATTCTGACAACTGAAAGACTCAAATAAGACACTACATAATATTCAAAACTAAATATACAAAAATGTATACAACTTATAAATAATGATAAAATTGTATTAAAGATAATGCTGACATTTAATTTATCATTATTATTTTTATTAAGTTAATTTAACATACAAATTCAAAAAAATTGACCTATCACAAATTTCCAGTGGTGAACATCGGTAATTAAGTTTTTAAAAACTTGAAATAATGCATTAAATGATTTTAACTATGCATCACAATAGTTGATTAAGAAATCAAAAACTTACAAAAAAGGAATTAAATTTGAAATTTGACAATTTGTAATTACCTTAAGACCAGATGGTAACAATGAAACTTTAGACTTAGGAGTTGCAGAAACTGAACCACCTAAACGTAACTCTGAATGTAAGCCATTCACTTTGATAGCAGATATCCTAGCTCGTAATTCTTGGGAATAGTGATTTGTAACTGCTTCTTCATAGGAGTCAATCCATTGCCTTAACTGGTGAATATTTTCGCCCGGAGAAGGGGATCTTAGCTCAGGAACAGGGGTGGCAGCAACATCTTTCTTTTCAGCAGGAGCCTAAATAATTAAAAAGAAATTAATCATGTATACATCATACTGTATAGAATTTAAATCTCGTTGCTCAACATACCTCTCTTTTCTTAGTGAGAGTCTTTTTTGGCTTTAGTTTGGCTGTGGGTTTAGTATATTTCCCTCTTTTAGCTTCAGCATTGGCTCTCCATCTTCCAGACTTAGTTCCACTAGCACTACTTCCACTGGCTGTTCCAACACTATTAGTCCCCCGTTCTCCTCTTTTACGGGCAACTGTCCTTGTGGTAGTACTATTTTTCCGTGCATTAGTATTTCCTGCATTGTTGGAGTTATTACGGCCTGAGAAAGAAATGACTAAGATAATAAATTTTGCATTGCATAATATTACATAAAATCGTTTAATATTCAACATATTACCAGTCTTGCTAGGAGGGGTATTAGCCGAGGAGGACTCGAGAGAATCTGAGGAATCATTGAATTGACTTCTTTTAGAAAGTTGAAGCCTTATAGCCCGTGCTTTGTCAACTTTCCTAGGTTCACATTCTTCACACCTGTATTCTTCTGGTATATTCCCTCTCTCAATACCCATGCAATCAACATGTTGCCAAACTCTGTAGGTAAACAATCCTTTATTAAAAACAAAACTCACTGAATATGAAAAGTCAATATTGCAAAATAGATCTATTAGGGATGAGTTTACACAATTCAATAAGGTCCTAATGTCAATCCTTATATTTTATTATAAATATATATTGCATATTTTAGATACGGTGAGTAAATGAAATTTACAATTTGATTCAAATGTTCGGATACAGTGTCTGAATGCATTGGGGCAGCACCCCACTGAATGCATTGGGGCAGCACCCCACTGAATGCATTGGGGCAGCACCCCACTGAATGCATTGGGGCAGCACTCTCAAATAAAAGAAATCCAGTCGATTCGGTTCGAATGTGGTCTTGGGGGAGCTGACTTATAATTTGTGGCAGACCACAGAATAAATTTCGACCTACCCTTTTTTTCGACCAACTGTCTATTACTAGTTGGGAATCTGTCTTTCTTGTCCTAGTTAAAGCACATAAAAAAGTTAAGACAATTAAACCAAAATAAGCATTTAAGACAACCATAATATATAAAGTTAACTTACAGGCATTTATCACAGCATATCATATAGCCATCATCATGCTGGAACTCACTGTAATAATAAAAGAAAAAAACTTAATTATAATTTAATCTGAAAAGATAAATCGAAAACATTTCATATATCAAAAATTAGAGCATGCCCGGTAAGGAAATTAAATATATTCCTAGCAGGATTTTATTTATTAAATAATAATCTTACCATAAGCTGGTTATGTTTGGGGTGCTGTCAGAAATAAAACATACAGTTGGGTGATATATTGTTTTAACAGAGGCACACGCCGAAACAGTGTATTTACTTACTGTTTATTTCATTTTCGATTGTGTCCCTCCCCTGATTTGATTTAAAGCCAACTATATCTCTACTGATAGGGAATATAGTCTAGTATTAATACAATTAAATCTAATATTAATGTTAAAAAAACACATAAAATATATACACATATTAAAAAATTTAATTTCTCTAATTACATGAATCAGACCTAAATAGTTCTAATCAATACTAAACTGAAGATAATTAAATTTTGAATTTGACACTAAACACGAAAATAGCTAATTGAGAAACAGATAATTGCAGTATTATTCAGGTGTTTTGACCTGAATTTACAAAATGTTTAGCAACAAATTTTATTGCTTTTAATGCCATATTTAAAATGACATTAGGGCAGAATACTTAAAACTAATCAAAATTGACTGGCTTAAAAGAATTTAACAATAAAATGTTATATAACTTTAAACATTATGGGCAGAATAACTTAAAATGCCCATCAAATAATAGAAAGTAATAATTTTATTATATGACACTCTAAAATCACAGCACAGTATTTAGATAACTGAGGTGAGGAACTAGTGTCAAAATAACGCATAGAGGATAATAGGTTCAATAATTAATAAAAAAGAATCATTTCTTGGCAGTACCTAATTCTGCCATAAATACTGTTACAAAAGTTGAACTTTGTATTTCAAAACCTGTCGTCAAGCCTCTAAATGATATTCTGTTTGCTAGAATTCATTGGATTTTCCAACAGGACTCTGCTCCAGCTCACATGGCCAGGTCAACTCAGCAGTGGCTGCAAAAGAACATTCCAGAGTTCATCTCCGCCTCAGATTGGCCCTCAGGAAGCTCTGATCTCAACCCACTAGATTATCGGCTTTGGTTTGAACTGGAGAGGATGGCATGCCACAGAACACACCCTAACTTGCAAAGTATTAAACAATCTCTGATCCAAGCAGTTGAGCGCTTTCCTCAAGAAGTGTTGCGTGGTGCTATTGATGACTGGCCATGAAGATTAAATGACTGTGTCAAGGCAAAAGGGGGACATTATGAGTAATTTTTTTTTTGTTTTACTCTCTATAGATATACATTTTATTTTTTGATAAAATTTTTGAAAAAATCAATTTTTCTGTTAAAATCTGTATATATTTCCTTGTTACAATATTTATGACAGAACTAGGTACATATTACACGGTAATGTGACCAGTATCAGGTTTAACCATCAAGTTTATGTCAGTAGACCAGAGGTTCAGATTTTCCAGCGTTGAAGTGTTGCCCTGGAATTAAAAGAACTAAATTTCCAATTGTAGCTTTAACTTGAAACATACTGTGGGCTATCTTCTCTTTTTTTTGGACAAGAAGACTCTCTTCAGTATAAATCAAGTAGTATTAAAAAGAAATATATTGATCAATCATTATAAGGTGTTCAGTTAATGGAGTAAAATTTGTGAAAAGGGAAAGGGCCATACATCTAACGACTGAATTAATAATACTGATTCAGTTGAACAGATATTTCTTAAGAAACCTACCATATACATCTCGTAACAGAATCTTCATCTTCTGGTGCTGTCTCTGTTTCTTCACCATCCTCTGTGTTACCAGTGGCATTTTCACCATCTGAAGATATATCAGATTCTTCTTCCTTCACACTTACATTCCTCGCTTCAGGGGTCACACCTCTCGTGTAACCTATAATACAATCATTGTTAATACTTTAAGGGAAAAAAGAAAATAATTTGAATAATTAAACATTTAAAATTATCTACCTGTTCTAAAAATGGGTGTAGGCGGAGCAAGAGGTGGCTGTCTAATTCCATTAGGCAGAGAAATGCCATTAGGATGAGTAGGCCCTGCTATTTTCGGAGAGATTAACGATGTGGGTGAAGGAATTGGGGCACAATAATTGTGATCTTGAAGAACATACTGTCAAAAAATTTTTAAGGTTAATACCTATAAGGTTAGCATACTAGCAAAACTAAAGCAACAAAGTTTATCAATAATAGAGATGTGAAACAAGAATATTGAATTTTACTATGAAAACTAAACACCTGATTTTCTACATATTTAAATATATTAGATAGTATATGTAATATATTTCTATTATAATATATTTCCAATATATTAGATTCAATTCAGAAATTAACACCCTCATACTAATCATTTTTGTAATTATTATAAACCAATAATTACTAATTTAAAACAAGAACAGGATATCAAGGATATATTTAACATATTGGCAATATAGTAAAAACCAAAACTAAAATTTAATGAAAACAAAATAATTATCTTCAGTGAACAATGAAGTAAAAAAAAAAAATTAGGTAACCTGATAGTTTAAGGGAAGGTGTTTATAATACTTCGGCCTCCTCTCTACAATTCCTTCAATTTCTTCTTCTTCAGTTTTCTTTTTAGGGCTTGACCTAACACAAGAAAAGCTAATTAAAATTCTGGAAAAATCATTGTTTGACAATTAAAAGAAAAAATAGCTACAAGCCACCAAAACTTGAAAAACTGAAAAAGCACACAGATGAAAATAAATTGGAGATAATACTAATAGCTACATAGCATTAACTAATCATCAACTACACATCTCAGTAATCGGTAAATATGGTGCAATCTCAGCAATTAAATAATTTAAAAAGATAAATATTCTAAAGTTTTGTTCAGAAAAAGAAAGAACAAGAGACACAGACAGCCAGAGTCGAATTTCGAACTTAAGACAACATAGGACATCTGGTACAAGTGAATTCTCTTAGCTGACAGATATACACGTCCTTTTCCTAACAATTTCATCTGTTTTTATAAAACAGAACGGCAATATGACATAGCAACAAATTCTCTTACAAGGCCTAAGAGAAGATGCAGCAAGGTAGGTCTTATACAGAAAACAAAAATATATGGATTCAAAGAAAATTAATCATTCTATTTATTGAAATAAAAATGTATTTAGTAAGTTTTAATCTCTCAATGTATTTTTCCTGAAAAACCAAAGCTACTCAGTAATGCAAATACCCTCGGCAGACATTAGATCAGACAACTGAAATGGGATTGTAATTGGAAAATAGATAAATATAATATCAATATTAATAAATATTTATATAATTTCATAAACTCTTGGGAGAAATCTAATAATAATATGAAGCAACTGTTGCTCAACATATCAATGTTTAAAACTTTGTGGGCCGGTTTCCTCCCCCTCCTACTGTGCACCTCTTCCCACATCTCTAAAAATTGCATATCATGCTCCTTGTAACAATTTATTTATTTAAAAACACCTAATTTTCCCACAAAAAAAAGTGAACACACTGCCCCAAAATGTCGTCTAAAGATGGCGGACTGACGGCTTTGACTTATGTTAGTTTTTCGGTCACTGAGAATCAGCTTTTGGCTTAATTTCGTCACAATTTGCCTTTTATTAAAGCTGGATAGCCAGAGAATAATGAAACATGAAAAAATATTAAAAAATAATTGGCTTAGCCAATAAAAATACCAGTAAAGTCAACTTTAAAAAAAAAAAATTAGTTGAAAATAAAGAGTCGCTTGTAATTTAATGGAAAACGTCCAGAAATAAAATGTCTGTAGAATATATTTTTATTTCTAAAACACTCATAACTTTTAAAATATTTGAAGGTTTTGTAGCCCCTTGAAATATTCTTTTCATCTGTCTACTATATATTTGTTTAGCCATATAAGGGATACCGATCCTTGTTTTCTTTTCCGAGATTTGACAATTCCTTCCTCGTTCACTTAAAGTATTTTTCCAATTTTTGGGTTCAATTTTGCGTTTTCGCTCATTTTTATACATAATACTAACAATTAGTCCCGGTTACCAAGAAGAACATACAGCTTCACCCTTTCTTCCTTTCTTTGTGCAGAGAGAATAAAGTTTTCAATATTAAAATTTCCTATTTTGATCCTAGGAAATAAAAAATGACATCATTTTTTTATTATTAATATATAAGTTTTATTAAACCCAGCAACTATTCATTATATGTAGTTCAAATTAAGTATATATTTTAATTTATAAAACAGGTATTAACATGACTCATTTCCGGAAAAGTATATAAATTTAACATGTTCTCCAGACGTTTTAATTCAAGACTTTTTCCGTTATTGTTGGCCGTTTAATGACAAACATTGCTTGATTTTAAACTTATTTTTTTTTTTTTAATGTTGACTTTACTTGTATTTTTTTATTGGCTAAGCCAATTATTTTTTAAATATTTTTTCATGTTTCATTATTCTCTGGCCGTCCAGCTTTAATAAAAGGCCAATTATGTTGAAATTAAGCCAAAAGCTGATTCTCAGTGACCAAAAAATTAACTTAAGGCAAGGCCGTCAGTCCGCCATCTTTGGACACAGTTTTGGGGCAGTGTTCACTTTTCTTTTGTGGGTACATTGGCTTTTTTTAATAAATAGTTACAAGGAACACAACAATATGCAATTTATGGGGATGCAGGGTGGGAGGAGGATGCACGGAAGGGGGTCTGGCCCACCGTGTATAGTTCAAATAAATTAATGACTTATTCGTAAACAAAGCATTTATTCTCAAACCAATTTAAGTTTCAATAATACATTATTATTTACAATTCAAGTATTATTAAAATTTATTTTTATAATATGTAAGAATAAAAGATAATATTTTAGTTTTATACCATGTATACATAATCGATCAATAATAATAATCATCAATTGCAGCAAAACTATACTTAATCATAAAATTATAAATGATTCCAGAATTATCAAGAATGCGAACTCAAATTATTAAAATGAAAAATAAAAAGCACATCAATGATAGTAATCATGCACACTGTTAATTACCCGAGAATGAAGCAAATTTGTAGTAAAAAAAAATCATGCTAATGTAAATTGGGAGAATGTTGCATGCATCAAAAAGCTCAATTTTTTTATAGAATGATCTATGTTACAGCCAGGGGTGTTCAACATTTTCCAGTATAACTTGTGCCTCTTACAGTTATCTAACAAGTCACTTTATTCAGAGTAGAACATTATCCAATGACAGGATGTTTATAATAATTAAACAAATTCTTAATAAATAAACATATGTGTTTAAAGAAAAATAAATCATAAAGCTAGAGAAATTATATTATATGATTAGAGCTTGCTGATAAGATTTTTGAGCTGACCTTTTGCTATCTAGATTTTTACGTCCTATCATTCTAAAGGCAATGAACGACATCTATCCAAAGCACCTGAGAATGCATTGTATTTGGAGGTTTATAAAAAAAAGCTAAATAATGTTGAAACATCAATACATTTTGCACGGTTTCATGGTATTGCAGACATTATTGGAAATGAAACAATTTATAAAGAAGCTCTTACCCTTTTTGTTGTCCTTATACAACTCAGAATAGGACATACTAGGCTTACCCACCCACAACCAGTTAACAACTAAAGAAACTTTGCCCATATGTCAAAAATGTGGTGAGAGAATGACAATAGTGCGTATCTTTGAGAGCTGCACTTTTTATATGAGAAAATTAAATACTTTGGGAATCAAGGAAAAAATCTTGAATGCAATCATATCTTTTTTCCTATAAGAAAGAATATTATAAAATATTTAAAAACTTTTTTTTTCAATCTAATTGTTTATATGTTTTGATTATTTTCATTATGCACAGTCAATAGATATAATATTAAAAACATATATAAACCTGTACCACTCAGCCCATGAAATGTCTTGGGTTCAGTACTATTTAGGAAAAGCAATGTTTCTTGGTCTACAGTTGTGCAAGGAGATGATTTGACCAAGATCACACTTAAACACCAGGTTTTCCCCTTAATCAATAATTTTATTATTAATTATTATTTTGTTCCATATGAAACTTTACGAGACAGCGTCAGGCGTTTTCGGGAAAATGATTCTTACAATAGAAGGCCCGGTTCTGGACGGCCAAGGGTAACAGAACCATGGGGTGACCGGTTTTTTACTTTGAGAATTTTACGAAATCGGCACCTTACCGTTGTTCAAGAGATTCATCAGCTCGAAGAAGTTCGAGGTGAGCAAATTTCTGAACATACCGCTCGGAGAAGATTAAATGAGTATGGATTAATGGCTTTTCGTCCAGTAAGAGGACCAGAGTTGACCAGAACTCAGAGAGTAACACGGCTGGCTTTTGCTCGAGAACACAGCCATTGGACTATGGACGAATGGAGTGCTGTACTCTTTACAGATGAGTCAAGATTCGCTCTTCGATCTCCAGACGGGCGTGAAAGGGTGTGGAGAAGAAGAAACGAAAGATATGCAGCCTGTAATTTTTCCCAGAGCCAACCTTTTTAATGTGGTTCTTTAATGGTGTGGGCTGGGATTTCAATGGAGCGCCGCACAGAATTGGTTGTTGTTCTTGGAGGGTCTTCGACGGCTATTCGCTATGTAGATGAGATTTTGGAATCTCATGTGTTGCCTATCCTAAACAAAATCAGTGATCGTTCTATTGTAATGCACGATAATGCACGTAGCCTGGACAGCATGTTCTCCAGATTTGAACCCCATTGAGCATTTATGGGATAACCTCGGAAGATGAATAAGAGCGCCTGCAACACTTCCTGATACACCGCAGGACCTTGAAAGGGCTCTCGGGAGGATTGGGCTATCCTCCAGCAAAGGGACATTTCCCGACTGGTAGAAAGTATGCCAAGGCGTCTTCAAGAAGTAGTGAAGGCAAGAGGAGGAAACACACGCTAATAAACGATGATGTAATTAATTTCTTTTAGAATAATAATGGTTCCTTTTTCAATTCTTTTTTCTCTAATCTTTCTTACCCAATCACATTTTGATTATTAAAGGTAAAAAAGATTATAAAATTCCATAAATACTTAATATTATCTACAAATACCATGTATTATATACAAATACAACTTTTTTTACAAGAGGGTGAAATATTTTTAGATGAAAACATGAAAAAATCAAGTGGGTGGAATTTTTTGCCTGTCAGTGTATTTACTGTAGTTTAATAACTCTAGATCTGATATTATATTTAAATAATTAGGTATCAATGTCCATTTATTCCAAAAAATCATGATGTAACTTTTTAGAAAATTAAATTAATGAATAATTTAATGAATGTTCCCTTTGTGAAATCCCAATATTATCAGGTCTTCCTCTACTTGGTTTAAATTATAAATAATTAACTATTTCTAATTGTTAGGACTTATGAAAAAAATGCTAAATATAACTTTAGAAAGAATTTGATAATTGAATAAAGGAGAAAAAAAGAAAAGTGCTTACCCAGGTCAAAAATCAATATCCGGAAATAATAGTAAGAAGTTATAATACGTATAATATATCATTGGAAAATGGAGAATAAAAAAAAAATCTAATATAGAAAGTTGTAGAAGGTAACTGAGCGTGGCAAAAAAAAAAAAAATAATAATAATTTTTAAAAACTAACATTACTTAAGATAAATCACATGTTTTCAAGGAAATTAAATGAAATTTTCTTACTAAATGTAAATCTAATTTTTTTTTTTTAATTTGAAAAGAAGTATTAAGTATATAAGAAGTAATTTGAAGAAGAAGTACATTGTTTAATATACTATTTCATGGACCTGTTCACTTACAACCTTGAATATATTTACTGTAGTTTAATAACTCTAGATCTGATATTGTATTTAAATAATTAGGTATCTATCGTTCTTTTATTCAAAAAACCTTGATGTAACGTTTTAGAAAATTAAATTAGTCAATAATTTGATGAATTCTCCCTTTGTGATATCCTAACAGTAACCACTTACAATTAGTGTGACAATTTTTGACCTGTCTATGACAGATAATTCAAACCTCGTAAGTCCATTTTAGTAAACTTTGCAATGGAAAACAACAGTTTAATATCTAATAGTCGTACAATCCATAATCAAAGGACCGTACAATCCATAGTCAACCGATGATTTAATAAATAGGATTTTGTTATTTTAATGGTATTTATGATTTGTTAGCTGTAAGCTTTAAGCTTTAGTTCATTTAAAAATGCAATTCAAAAATTTTATAATAGCCTAACATGACCAGAAAATAATTTCTATTCAAAGTTGAGCATAAATTAAAGTTGTGTGTTAAGCGCATCAGGTTTTTTTTAATTGTTTCATAGTAAATGGTAAAATTGAAGAGAACCAGAAATTAATTTGAAAATCACTGACTCCGGATATTCTATAATATCTAATTTTAAGTAAAGCCTACCATCTATTGAACAAAAATCAACAATAAAATTCATAAAAAAGACTAAATACAGCTAATAATAGTTTTAATACAAGATCATACTTCATTACAAGAGGCAAAACAAGTTATGTCATCAATAATTCTGATAATAAAGAATTTATTAACTTTAGATGATATATTCAGCTGTTCACAAGACATTTCAGTAAAAAATTGTCAACAGACTGAAGAAAATATGAAATTTTAAGTAATCTATAAAAATCAATAAATCTACATCACGAAAAATCACACAGACAGATTACCATTCATTATTGAGTTTCTAGAAATGGCAGTACAATGCTTAGAAGAAAAGAAAAGAAATACATAAAAGTGAGTAACAGAAAATGTTTTATTGTTGTGCATCCCTGGATATAACACTTTTTTATCTTTTTAAATCAAAGTAAAAAAAAAGCAAAATAGAAAGCTTTACATAAGCATCAACCAGAAATAGAAAAAAGGTTAAAGCCGAAACAGACTCCTTTTTACATACATGAGCTTTGGTAGAGGTCTAGCAAGAGCGGAGATGTTCCTGGCCGGGAGGATCCTTGGCCCAGTAGGGGACATCGGTAGCTTGTGTCGGGCTTGGCTCCTCGGTGGAACGATAGCCCCTCTGCCACCACCACCGGCAGCCCTGCTCCAACACACCGCACCGGGGTTAGACACACACACACTCACTCAGTTCATTTCCACACACATATAATCACAACACATTGTACGCTTTTGGGGGCATGTCAATCTGTGTTCCCCAAAATACGATTAAAGCTACAAAATTAATAAGAATTGACAATATTCAAGGCAAAAAATTATATTGTTTTACTAACCCATATGGATTTAGTTGAACTACTAAGCTAGTTTGTGCCTCAGGCGGTCCTCCCCCAGGCTTCATCTTTTTCTGAAAAGAATGTACAATAAAAATAAGAAAATTTTAATTAAAAAGTGAATACTAAATATGTTAAAATATATTTTCTTTTAAAATTAACTATTTGAATAATTGATAAATAAAACTAATAATGGTTCATACTTAATACTGTTCTTTAAATATAACTTAACTATATATTACAATGCAGGAATACACTACAGATTAATGCTTTGATCTACTCACCTTTATGTCATTCAGTAAACAAGAATTGCGATTAAACAGATGGATTTTATAAAAACAAAATAAAGAGAAAACCTGCAATGACCTCTAACTTATTATAGTAAAATCCTCAGAGAGAGCCTTTCAAAGTAATGAATCATCAATATTTTTTCTTATTGGAATTCACAACTATACAAATTGCGCCAAATAAATAAGCTGAAATGTGGGGTAAAAAATAAGTACAATATATCTAAAAACTACACATTGGTGCCAGGTCAAGGAATGCCAAATAATTTTTGATCATATACAAAGGAGTAAATAGAGAGGTAAGAGCAATAACGGCTCAAACCTCTTTAATTCAGTACAAGATAATAATTATCAAATCACTACTGAACTGGGCAAAAATAATGAGTAGTTTCTGGTTGATCTACTGGTTGTATCAAATTTCCATTTAAATAACATTTAAAAATGAAATTATGGGTTTTATGGATATGTTTAAAAAAACAGATCAGGTAAAGAATAAAACATAAATAACAGTAAGGACATAACAAACAACAAAAAGTATGTTCCTATAACTGATAAAGTTATAGGAACTACCTAGAAATCCCATTATCAACCAAAGCAATCATGATTTATGGAAAATAAAATGAACTCTCTAATAAATGCAATTTTCTAAGAGGGTAAGCTTATTTTTTAAAAATAATAATGATAAATTTAAACCAGAGAAAAAAAGTTAGTTTGTTCTTTTATAAACAATGATTAAAGAAGCCTCTAGTTTCTCAAGTTAAATCTTTTTCGAGATCATTTCAAAATAAAATAAAAAAAATAATTGAAATTAAAGCAAATGAAAATACTTTCAAAGTCTTTTAAGGTGACATTCCTGGAAACTATCACTGCATTTTTCCAAGAAGTATATTATAAAGAAAAAACATAAATAAAAAATTACACACAAACCATTAGCAATGAACTTCCTAATAATTACAATACACATTATGTTGGAAATGCAGAAATGTAGCATATTTTTATTGAGAAACATTATGGAAATCATGGATTTGGAAAAGATTATTTCTAATTCCGGTCTTGACTAAAAAAAAAAAATAATTTCTAAGGTGGTTAAGCCATTCTAAATATGTTTCCTCAACTGATATATTTTTTAAAATAACTCTTCAAACTTCGTTGGAGAGAAGACCAGGTTTAATAAAATTTATGGTTTAACTCTCTATTAAGCAAACATGTTTTATTATTATTTTTTGGCTAAAAAATACTAAAAATCTTTTTTTTAAACATTTCAAAATCCCACAATCAATCAAAGTAATATGTTTTACAAGCAGGTAATTCAATTCAGGTCAAACCACTTCAAACATGAAAGTATTCATTGCAATAAATAAATAAATGAATGAATAAAATAAACGTAGTTAGTCTTACTCATGATAACTGAAAAGTAACAACAGAATCTTTTCAAGAAAAAAAAGCTTGTAAACCAAACAAGATAAAGTTTCTTTTAACAATGGAACAATCACCACCAAGGAAAACTTCTTTCTTCATGAACTTTTTCATTTATATGAAAAATGTAAAAACTAATGATAAACCTCAAGAAATTCTGAGATTGAAAGTGAAATATTGAAGAAATACGAAGTTTTCTGGCAAAGAAAATTGGTTAATGAAAACAATTAATGTGACTATCTACGTAAATATAATTTTTTAATATCAGATAAATGATCTTTTTTTATCAACAACGATATAATAATTAAAACTGCATATCAGTTCAAATCGCTTCCTACCTAAGAAAACCTCGCCAAAAATGTCACGAATTTAGTCAGTGCCCACGATTTGGTGTTTTGCTTACCACAATATGTGATCATACAGCCTACGTAGTAAATTGCGCCAAGCCAACAGGCTCCTGATAACTCGTTTAAGAACATTTTCAAGAAAATTTTAAGGACAAACAATTTTGCTTCATTAAAAAATGTGATCAAGAAAAATAAATTATAATATGAGAAAATTAATTGTTTATTTTTAACAGAAATCATTATACAGTTGAAGCCTTACACTCTCGCCGTATTTTTTTTTTTCATTTATTCGGCAATCAAGCAATTAATTCCTTCTTATTTAATACCATTCGTAATCACGATGTAGTATATGTAGTAGTATGTATTTATCAAATCATATATAAATAGAATGATGGATAAATATTTATTTAAGGTCCCTATATGAATAGAAATGTAAGAACATCGCTTGTTTTCGTATTATGAATTGATTCGTTGTATGATGTTGTAGAGATGTGTTTAATCAATCAATGGAAATACTAATTGACCTCATCTATAAGAGATGTAGTCACAATCTAAGACCACATCAAATAATTAAACGGATCGAGAAGTATTTACTCTTTATTTAAATACACAAAACCACTTCCCATCGAGACTTGTAGTGATACGTTGATGTTTTAAGTGCCTACAATTGGCAAGGGGCAGAGGATTTTGTTTTGTTAAGACTAGCTTTCCCTACCTCTAGTTCCCCCACCAGGCGAGGACCGCTGCTTCTGGTGGAGTCCTTGGGCCCCAATTGAAGGTCATCGCAGCCTCACCCTTAACAGGGTTTCAATTCTTCCTGCAGAAAGGATGGTCCGCGCTGAGCTTTGAGGAACACAAACTTTTTATAATACCAAAAACAACAATTGGTTAATTTTCATTTCACTATGACATCAAAATTATTATTAATTATGTTAATTATATTAATCAATTCATGTTTTAATCAGATTATCTAATTCAATTGTAACAAAAAAAAAAATTCAGGGTAAGTTATTGGTAGAATGTATAATACGCCAAGTCATTTAAAATTAAATAACAAACAACTTAAAAATATCTCTTTAAAACTATTATTGGACTAAATTGAAGTGCGGATATCTAAGTTTGCATCTAAAACTGTTAATTTAAAGAAGACAAAGAAAGTCAATCTATTAATTTTTAAATTTTAATATTAATTTAAGATAACTTCACCGAAAAATTTAATTATCATAGTGAATACAAAGCATAACTTGCGTAAAAATTGTAGGACTGAATGAAAATATACACATAAAATATTGTTAATGATCCTTTTTTATAATGATCTCATAAAAAACTGACTTACACAAAGAACTAAATTATATTTCATGGCAAAACATTTTTTTTTTTTAATCTGTCACCACGAATTTATAACATTCTATGGATCACATCGGCGATATCCCACCTCCTAAACATTACTTATTGAAATTTTTAATTAAATTTAAAAAATAAGAACTTTATATGTGAATTGTAATGTGTTAATAGATTCGGCAAATGAAAACGGACATCAGCAATAGAAATAAATTATATAAAGGAGAATTATTAATTTACAACTAGTGGTCTTAATTGAATGACCATGGAACAACAAAAAGATACACTATAGGAATATTTATTTATTATTATTTTTTATTTTTTAGAAAGGCATTTTTTCTGAGGCTAGAGCTAGAGAATGGAGACCGGAAGCAGCCGTGCTCCTGCGCAGCGAGGCCCCGCAGCAAAGAGGTCGATCCCGCAACTAGCCAATCAGCAGCATCTACAATGGTTACCACTAGCGTAGGTTAGCCTCCATATCACCCGTGTACCACCACTGGAGAGGTCAATCACCTCAACATTTTGGGTCAAACATATTCCTCCACTTCGGATTCTTTTAAAACTATTATATCATAATAGAAAAAATAACATAATGCGGATTAATACTCAGGGTTAAAGATGACCTTAGTGACAGAAATTTCAAGGTCCCACACAGTGCCACCATAATAGCAAATTACGTTTTATCAGTTAAGTTGTGTGAAATTTTCTAGTAGAACTTATCCCTATTGCCTAAGATTAGCTAACGATTAACTGCATTTTCCTCTACCTATTCACAAATAAATGAACTTTCAACTGACAAATACTTCTACAAACTTATTTCGATAATTTTTAAAAATGTTGAATTTTGAAACTAGAAGAAATTACGATAATATATATTGCTACAACAGTACAATAGGAGTTTAAATGAAATTGTATCATAACTTTGTCATTGGAAAGAGGGGAAGGAAACATTAAAAATAATGAGACTGAAAACTTAAATATTCCATTGTAAAACATCCTAGAAATAAGAAGCGCACAGAACTTTTATAATTAATTAATCAGTTCTTATAATAAATAATTAAAGAAAGCTAGTAAATAATTAAACACAATAATTGAGCACAAAGTACACATCCTATCCCTTTAGCAACAGGAATTCTACCTATTTCCTCCATAAATAAAAGAAAACAAAAAAAACATCAAATGTATCCTATAACTAAAAGAAAAGAAAGATACCAACCCATTTCCTCTTTTAAATAAAACAAGACGGTGTGACAAAAATTCCTACTGAATATTTTGAGGGGAGGAAACAAAACATTCCATTTTTTTCTAAATGGCACTGAAAATATTAAAAATCATAAGAATAAAAAAAATTATTATATAAAGTCAACATCTCAAATTACTTTTAATACTAAAACTGAAAAGAATGGACCCAGAAATAATAATATTTTTAATACTGTCAGTGTAAAATTTCAGTTACATGGTCAATAATAAAACATAACAACAGAAATAACCAGCACACAAAATTTTCAAATAACTTATAAACCATGGATAAGTCTAGATAATGTAATATTTAACAACTTTTATTTTTAAAAATTCTAGTTAAAGTTTTGACAGATATTGACAGTAAAAAATAGCAGGAAAGAAATTACATAGTAAACAGCTACAATTTTGGTAGGCTTTATGTTTTCATTAAAAGGGTTTAACCCATTAATCTAAAAAAAAAAATAAGGAGGATAATAATATAATAGCTTCATTACATTGAATAAATTCGTTTTATTATTTTATAATTAAGTGTTCATAAGTAAAGAACTTTAAATTACGAAAATGGGTGTAGAATACCAATGGACACTAATATTAAAAACAAAAATTCAGTATTTTTTAACTTCAATTTAAATATACAAAACTTAATCTACTTATATGATAAAATTACCATCAATTTTTTTATAAGGAATTTCAGTATTTGAGAAGCTAAAAGTCTACATTTGTCATATTATTAAGTAGACTTACATTGGAAATAGACATTGGAAAAAAGAAAAAAAGTAGATAGAAAAATATAATATAAAAACATATTATCTATACATTTAGATATTACAACTAAACAATTTATTTGAACTTTAAACATAATGGGCACAAATAATTTAATTAATTAAAACAAACCATAACTTTAAGACACTTTATATATTTGTTGGATATGTTAAAGCTATTGCTATGAGTAAATGAAAAAAATGAACACAAAACAAAAAAATAAACATATCCTATACACTCCACAATTAATAATTAACATAATTTACAATTAAAAATAACATCGGCATAATTAATTGGTTCAAATAACATTGAAAAAACATGATAAAATTCTTATTCCAATAAAAATTAAAAATGAGCAAAGCTTTATTTAAAAAAATAAATAAATTTAATTAAACGTTAGAAACATTTTTTTATTTTCAAAAACGTAGTAATATAAGCTGCAGAAAATAACCTAACAGGAACAGAACAGTTATTTTTAGGAACAGGACACAGAAGACAAAACCAGACTATCAGTCCACTGGTATCTTAGCAACCAGCTGTGGAAGCCATCTTGTGACGTAATAACATCACTTCCATGGCGACAGGCACTAAAGACTAGAGCATTGATTTTATAAACTGACCACAACTGCCATTTGCATCAACAATACCATGCAATCAGTTTTAAAAGATAAAATGCCGTAATTTAAAGGCATGAGTTGTAATCATGTCCAATATATTTAAAGTAAACAACTAAGGGTTGTTTAACAACACCTTGATAAAAACAAACCAAATCTAAAACATGCAATTATCTTCAATTTAAGATGACAGCAGCTATAATTATTTAAAAAACTAGTATTATAAAATCTAAATAATAGTAAAACTATTATCAACAATGATACAATATTGGTACAACAGTACATGACCTAGGTCAATATTTTCTTCTCCTATAAACAAACAAAAACCATGACACAATTTTTTAAAAAAGCTGTCCACAACTGAAAATTATTTACAACAAATTGCACTAAGCGACATTGATGAGTAGACTAGTTGAAATATAAAAATACAAAAAACAAGAAATGACTGTAGTTAAGAAGGACCTGACAACTTTATATTGTTACGGTAAAATGTAATCATTATGTACACAGAACCATTTCTGTTATCATAATGTACTGCTCCTTAAACGAATTCAACTTGCAAATAGGCAGTTGAACACTGCATTCAGTAAATGTTTTAAACAAACCCGGTGATATACTTAATTGTATATTAGAATACTGTCAAGCTATATTTCAGGGCAGGAGATATAAGATAGGAACAACAACATAAAAACGAAGTAACAGCAATGCAGGAAACAATTAATGAATTCGCAACTGTGATATATTGAAAGTGACAAAAAAAAAATTAATAACTGAGTAACATAGTAAGTAAAAAGTACATAACAAAAATTAAGAAGAGGTCCGCAATCTAAAATAATTGATAACTATCAACTCAACAACAAAATTAAATAAATGTATAAAATGACAAGTTAAGATGGGCTAAAACTAAATTTAAACAAGTATTTTATCGTTAATATCACTTATGAATACAATTAAAAAAATCTTTTAACAGATTGTAATATAGTGTTGGTACCCTCAGTTCAATCTAAGTCTATTAAATGGTAGAAAATCATTTGAATTGGTATAAAACTAGCATAGAAAACTACCGAAAGGAAAAGACAAAACAGAAAAACATAGCCAAACAACACAACACCTCAACAGAAACGTCCGTAATTTTATAGTTAAGTACCAAAATTGACTAAGGATAAACTCTGTAACTTTCAATACAGCAATAAGTAGCGTTATAATTTCTAGATGAAGTTACATACTAAAGTAAAATAAAACTAATACTGACCTGTAATTAATACCAGTTGTATGGGGGAGTTGTAAAACAGAGAACATAGTTTCACTACACTCACGTTTCAAGTTTTTACTTTACAATTTTTAAGAAATTGAAAATACCGCGTCAAAACGCATCACTAACTAAACTTGTTACATCTTTAATAACTCCGATATGACAAAAGCCAAACCGATTATTTACAAAATAAACCTCTAACCTAAAGATGGCGACCAAATCCTTACAAAAACAAGGGTCATAATAGCTTGGCTAAACTAGTAATCTGGACCCCAAAGCACTCTTCCCATCAGCCCTCCTCAGCTATAAATTCAGTTTTCCCTCAATAATAAGGTTATTTTAAAAAACATGTATGCTTTTACAGTTATAAAATTTTTTTTAGAATGTTTTTATAAAGAAAAACCGATAAATAAGTAAATTTATATGTTTATACACTACCCCTCCAACTGAAGTTCCCTACAGTATCTTTCTTTTTTTTTATATTTTATTATAAAAAGTAAATTACATTTAGATATAAGAAATTATATTTATTTTTGTAAAATTGATTTTAAGTTTTATATATAACTAATAACATTAAATTAATAAATACAATATTAAGTTGTTATTAAATTAAATTAATAAATTCTCATTTACTTTAAATGGAAAATTTTCCGCCTTAAAATTAGTTTTAAGAACTTATTTTTATAATTTATTCCAACCAGTAAAAAAGCGTAGGGCAAGTTTCTAACCTCAGCGCTGAGTTCATCACTACCATCGTTTTGCTTGGTTAAGAAACGGATTATGATGGTTTGGTGGGGGTTTGCTTTGATGGAACCACAAAGCTTCATTTTTTAATAAAAACAAAAGTTAAAACAGCCCTAAAAACTATAAGGACGATATTTTGGATTCTGCTGTCAAGCTTCTAAATTATACTCTGTTTGCTGGAAGTCATAATATATTTTTTTATTTTCACATATTTTATAACCTTCCAGGAGTGTAACCTTTCCACTAGGATCCAGCGTGTCGTTCCCGAACATGAATAAATTGCACTCCACCGATGCTGAATTCAATAGGTTGATGGATTCTTTCGATGGAATTAGCGCTGAATTTAGAAACTTGTTCCATCATAATCACAGAAAACCTTCTATTACCTACTCAATTCTGCTTCAGCCATGTACCTAGTCCTGTCATAAATACTGTAACAAAAGTTGAATTTTGTTTACATCCTTTGTTTTATTTAGATAATCCTTTCCTTTATCGGATTATTTTCTTTACATGTCAGGATAATAATCCAAATTAGTTTGTATTTTTCTTTCACTCAGTTAACATGGAGTGGGGTGATAAAGTAACTGGAATAGCTGTGATCACCTTACACAAGTTGGAACATGTATGTCAGAGATTTTCAACGCTTTGAAACCTTTGAGTATCAACCCTATTTCATGTACCACACTATAAATAGATTTAATGAAACCCTATCTGTATGTGGCAGACCTCGATAGTCACCGCACTGTGAGAACAGCAAATGCAGTGAGAGGAGTGGCTGCTCAAACTAGAAGAAATTCTATTTGAAAACAACCAATCATGTCTCAGGAAATGAGAATCTGTCAGATCAATGTCTCACATTATAAAAAATGATCTTAGGATGCGTGCATTTTGAGGAATGACAAGACAAAGGCTAACTACTTCCCTGAAAAAAGTGGAGTGGATAGTGCTCCTTGGCCGTTACACCAATGGTCTTCATCGTAAGATTTTGTTTAGTGATGAGAACATTTTTACAATTGAAGAAAAATTTAATCGCTAAAATGATAGGATGTCCGCACACAACTCTAAAGAAGCCCAGAAAATCATTGTAAGAGTGGAAAGAGGTCATTACTCTTCCTCAGTGATGGTTTGGTGGGGAGTTTGCTTTGATGGAGCCACAAAGCTCCATTTTTTAATAAAAATAAAAGTTAAAACAGCCCTAAAAACTAAAAGGACGATATTTTAAATTCTACTGTCAAGCTTCTAAATTATACTGTGTTTGCTGGAAGTCATTGGGTTTTCCAGGGATACCACTCCAGCTCACAAGGCCAGGCCAACTCAGCAGTGGCTACGAAAAAAACATTCCAGAGTTCATCACTGCCTCGGATTGGCTCTCAGGAAACTCTGATCTCAACCCATTAAATTATCAGCTTTGGTCTGAACTGGAGAGGATGGCATGCCACAAAACACACCCTAACTTGGAAAGCCTCAAACAATCTATTCCGAGCAGTTAAGCTCTTTCCTCAAGAAGGCGCTCTTTTTTGTTTTTCTAATAAAATGTTAGAAAAAATCAATTTTTGTGTTGATATTAGTATAACTTTCCTTGTAACAATATTTATGACAGGATTAGGTACATTTCAACTATTATCATTCTTGATGAAGTGTCAAATTTAGTTAGTGTAAAAATTATAATTTTATTTTTAAAACAATAAACCATTTTTATCTTTTTCAACCTGTATTATTATAATATGGAGAACTCGATTAAGTTGATCAGTAAATATAGGATTTATTTGAAGTATTAAACCATTAATTTGTATTTAAATTTAACGCTAATTTCCATCTTTTATGATTAAAGGAACATTTTTTTAAATACAGTTCTGTTTTCATGCCAATATTTTTAAGTACAAATCAAAATGGAAGAGGTATTGTTGATTCTAGAACCAATCCTAAGATAATAACGTTGGAAATACAATCAGTAAGTTGATATTTTGCCTTAAGCTTTAGGCCAATATGCTGGAACATATTAACATTTTTTTTTTCCTGATCATACCACCAACCAATTTCTGCTATTTAATTTTCACCATACACTGTTTCGTAATCAATACAGCTGTTAATTGATATTAAATATTTACATCCTTTCTAAGTAGTATCTGATTTCACAAATGTATGACTACCTTTCCTTCTACAACTGTAGTGTATTTATGTTGCTTATTCTATTGCAATTAAATTAAATATTGAATAACTGTCAACCCAATCATCTATGTTTTTATACATATATTTTTTTTGTATCTATTTTCATCTATCTCATTCTGTTCAACTTACATTGTTAGATTAATTAAATTTATAATATATATATCATCATGCGAATGATTATATTATTTCTATCAAGTGAATTCAAATTACAATACAAACATATACTTTTTAAGTGCTCTCACTTGCCTGAAATCAAATAGAGATTAGTTTAATAATAACTATCGCTGACTGATAATTTATGGCTTTAAGCTGTACCTAAATAATTTCATCAAATTTACTACAACTTAGAATTTATTGTTTAGGATATGAATAATTTAATTGAAAATGTTTCCTCATAGTTTATAAACCTACTACTTGTGTAAGCTTCCCTTCAACTTAATCTAAGAAGCTGGTAATATATTATTTAAAGTTTACTATTTACCTTATTATTATTCTAAGTACTTGAAGGGAATAAAATCCCATTTAATTTTAGAGACTTTAATTATCTTTTTATTAAAATTTCTAAATTTTCATATATTTTTTTTCCTCTTTATTTTTTAATTCACAACTGTCAATATTCACTGACAACCAGTGAATGAGATAACTGTACAAATAGACTAGGAGAAAGGGCATGATAGGCATGAGGAAGAGAAAAACCCAGTGGTTTATCTTCAGTCATGTTTGTGGTTAATTAAGGAGATCTCTCATCCAACTCCTTGTCAGCCTTCTGCGGATGTTATCGGCCATGTTTTTATTGCCCATGTCTTGGATGAGTCTATTGGGGTGACCATAGAGCTTGTTGTGAAACCTTTTGTAGTAAGTTTGTATATGTTCTGTGACGGTTTGCATGTGTAAGTCTTTGTGGAGAGTTATGTTACTAACATACCAAGGTGCTTGAGTAATTTTTCTGAAGGTTTTGGCCTGAAATATTTGTAATTTCTGAATGTGATTTTTTTTTTTTGTAATTCCGTATATTTGTGATGCATATGTCCAAAGTGGTTTTAGTAAGTAAGTGCAAGTGTTAAGTTTTTGTCTTAGATCTAGTTTTGAGCGACGTCCCAGTAGGGAATATAAAAGTCTAAATCGTTGATTTAGTGTCTTTCGCTTAGCAGTGATGTGTGGAGAGTTAGGTGTGTGGGCCCCATGTCATCCTTCTGTCAAATGTTAGGCATAGGTAATGTACTTTGTCAGATTGGGGAATATGTTCATTGTCAAGATAGACAGGAGGGCAGTTTTCCGTCGGAGTGAAAATGTTATGTGTTGGGATTTAGTTTTATTTTCCAAAGTTTGTACCAGTCGTGTAAGATTTGCAAGTGATTTTGTAAAGTATATGAAGCATGTGTGGGGTCATTGTGCCTTGTGATAATAGTAGTGTCATCAGCATAGGTGGCTATCAAAGTGTCACTGGAGAGGGGAATGTCATGTGTGTAAAGCAGTGGTGCAAGAATTGATCCCTGGGGCACTCCGGCCGGAATTGGTCTGATAGTTGAGATTTCAGAGCCTTGTCGAACAGAGAAAAATCTATCAGAGAGGAATGATTGTAATATAAGATAGTAAGTGGAAGGAAGTATTTTCTTAAGTTTATAAAGAAGTCCCTGGTGCCAGACCCTGTCAAATGCCTCAGCAACATCCAGAAATACACCAGTAGCATACATCTTTTGCTCTAGTGCTGTTGCTATGTAATCTGTGACTCTGTGTAACTGTTGAGTGGTAGAATGTAATGATCTAAATCAAAATTGATGATCGGGTAAAATGTTTTGCTCTGTTAATAATGTGTGGAGTCTGTTATATAGTAATTTTTCAAATATTTTGGCACAAGTAGGAAGTAGACTGATAGGTCTTTAAGCTGAAGGAGAAGAAATGAATCATGGATATGTATGAATACTTCCATTGAATAGGAAATTTGGCAGTCCTCAGTATAGAATTAAATATGGTAGTTAGAAACACCAGAGCTTTCCTGGGCATTTGCTGGAGCACTTCAGCATTTATTAAGTCATAACCAGGGGTTTCCTTTCTTTTTAACATTTTAATTTGTTTTGCAACCTGAGATGGGGAAAAGGAGGTGGGAGGAGGGGTTAATTGTAATGGAGTGTCCAAGGAGTTGAGTACAAGGTTATCGTGTTCAATGTTCGACAGATTAATATGTGGAGTGAAAACTAATGAGAGGTGATTTGCAAAAAGTTCTGATTTTTCTGTGTCCGACACAGCCCAGGAGCCATCATCTTTATGAAGTGGTGCTGACACCTGCCGGTGTTTTAGCAGCTTTTTTGTGTGTCTCCACAAGCTTCCATCGTCTGTTGAAAGATTGTTAATGTATATGTTCAAACTTTTCTCGGTTAAATTTTTGTATTTGTCATTTTAAGTGGTTGTTTAGTCTGTTAAATGCCTGTCTATATGATGGGAGTCTGTTCGTCTGCCAAACTTTTTGAGCTCTTATCAGGTCCCTTATGCATTGTGGATAGTTTGGTAGATTTCCTGTAGTCCGAGGTTTGGGTACTGAAGATGTCCAA